TAATAATAATAATAATAATAATAATAATAATAATAATAATAATAAGTTCATGCTTCGAGGTACAGCACAAGAAAATGGAATTTTATAGTAACTCAGAGATGCACTGGAAGAGGGTCACTGGATGCAAAAATGGCTGTGCCAGATCAGTCCAAAGCAAAGGGCTGACCAAGCCCAGCATTCTGTTCTCACGTGCAGCGGGCAAACCGAGGCCCGTGGAAGCTCCACAAACAGAACACAAGCACAACAGCATCCTCTAGTTTGGGTTCTGCTTCTGCTACTGGAGGAAGCGTATCATCAGTGGGACTAGTGCCCACTGATTGCCTGAATCTTCACAAACCTGTCTTGACCAACACTGATCTGCTGGTAGCAAAGTCCAGACTCACACACGCCGATCAAGGCCGACAACGAGCGCGCACAGTGGCGCAGCTCATCTCTGTCTTGAGTTTCTCCTTACTTTGCTTCACATAAAAAAAGACCCCGAGTTTCAGGATGAGCTGAGAGAGGACGAGCTCTGCCTCTTGACTATTTTCCTCACCACACCTCTGGCATGTCCTCCATTACCAACCCTTTTCTAAGCGCCAAATGCTGCAAAAGATTCTCAAAGGGAAAGTCTTGCAGCCACCCGGTCATTTCAGCTGTCGTCGTACTAGCTCTGCATGTCAGGCAGTATTTGAAATGCGGTCACCCCCTAGATCTGTATGGAGGCATCATACTGGCAGCCTTATTTTCCAGAACAGAGCGCAAAGCACTGAGGTGCCTCTTCAGAGACATCCGTGCCGCAAAGGACGCTTCCTTCTTGTACACATTTTGAGGCTGCTTCATCCAAGGCTATCTGCCTGTACAGAAATCGGGTGCATTGTTCGCTGCAATATATGCTGCATTTTCCTATGGACACTTTGTCCCAGAAAGAGCCGCACTGTGGCCATGCAGGCGGGGACGGATGGGAGGCAGAAGCCCAACACTTCTGGAAGCATCCGGAGAGGCATGACTGCCTTTTTCACGTGCCCTGGCAGGTGACGTCTCTGCCAAGTTATCCAGCACAGCCCAAAGATCCCTCTTCTGGTCAATCACTGCCAGCCCTCGGCAGGCGTGCGGATTTAGGATTTCTAACTTAGGGAATAGCTTTTCCCAGCTGTGAAAGGAACAAAGCCCAGCCCCAAGGACACAGTGAATTTGCCCACACAAAGCAGTAACCAGATTATGATAAAAACTCTTGTCTACGAGAGCTCTTCTGAATATCAAGTGAGCACTTACAGACATTGGCCAGCGAGCTTTTGCCTGCCCCACTGGGCCAGCACTTTCAAAACACAATGAAAATGCAGCAGACACGCATCCTAGCTTCAGAAGGAGCAAAAGGTGCTTGGAGCCTTCAAATAGACCTTGCAGCTTCAAATAACAAATATCAAAGGAAAATGAGAAGTTGTCTTACCGGCGAGCGATGTAGTAGAAAACAGGGTTCCCAGCCTTTGATGTCCCAGCTTGGTAGAAAATATTTAGTGTTTTCAGGGCTTTGAACTCCTCTTTTTCATGTACTTGATGCCTAATGATGAAAGTATAAGCATTAGAGGCAACCCTTTGTGCTCATGTGCTTACATTTCCCCCTAAAACCAGAAGCCAACTGATGCTTGTTTCAGGCTTGCTCAGAACTCCGAGCCACATGGGAACCTTTTACACAAACGTTCCTGAGGTCTAGAGACATGCAAAGTCTAAACACACATCCTGGAACCCGAGAGAGTGTTTTCAAGCGTGATGTCGCAGCCACCGCCAACCACCACCCCAGCGAGCGCCCACATGGCTCTCTGGAGCGACCCGCACGGGCTCAGCCTCCCCTGCTAACAACCCCTTTTGTGGCTCATCTTCCCTTTTACCCCTTTTCTTTTTTGAGTGGCAAAATGGGTAAAGGGAAAATGATAATGGAGAATGCAAAAGGTCTCAACTGCAGTGGGAACAGGAAACTAGATGGGCACTGCCATGGGATCCCCAGGACACCGTGCAAGAACCCAAAATAGAGGAGGGATGACAACCCACAGGGAGCCCAAATGCTTTCCAGGCTCACAGTGGTAACTCTGTAAGCCCTGCAGGTAACTCACAAACCCTGTAGCTTATTCATGGAGCGGGTTGCTGCATCGTGCAAACACAAGCAGTGATTTGCAATGTTGTTCTATGCAAGCTACTAGGAAAACTTCCTTTACGAAGCAGTTGATGTATTGTTAATAAATCAATCAATAAACAAAATACACAAGCCACACGTGCATCCAGCAGCCATTACCTCGTCATGAATTCTTCAAACTTGGAACTGGTGAGATTTATACTGGACCACTGTGTGTCCGCCACAGGCTTGTGCTCGGGAGGGCCAAGGTACGCCAACAGGGTTGCCATCTTGTCGAAAGGGCGCCTCCCAACAGCTTTGTGGTCCCTGGAGGACAACCACACATTAGTGATAAGCCCCCAGTGAAATGGATCAAATGGTTCGCATTGTCTGCGCTTTTCCTCTAAGGTAACATTCGGCATCCGGTAAGCTGAGATGAGGGATCAGCCATGCACGCATTTAGCACCCTTTGGGGAGGAAAATACCAGGGGAAAAAACATTCCTGGCTTCTAAGAGCAACCCTTGACAGCCCGTGTGATGTACGAGTCTGAGAGCCGGGCCGAAGCTCGGGAGGATCTGGGTTCTACTCTCCGCCTAGCTGTGGGCCAGTTACTTCTACCTGTTGCTGGAAAGGTACTGGCCTATCTTCTCCTGGTTGTTCCACAGCAGACGGTGTAAGGCCAGCACATTGCCGTCACTGATGAAAGAGAGGCTGTGATTCACCGTGTCGCTGGCTGGGCAGTCGGACGCGATGTCAAGGAAGAACCTACGGGCAGAGGAAAGCCAAAAGCGTCCAATCCGGGCACTTCGACAACGGTGGTGCAGATCCGTTCTGTGGGATGCGAATTGTGCCTGCAGGACACGACAGGCACAGCCGGACACTTACATTACCGAAGCGTGCGGCAGTGCTCCCCTGCGGTCCTTCCAGGGGAAGGAGGATGGTGCCGCGGGAGCCGTTGGCCGCTCAGTCGCAGTGCAGCTGTGGCCATCAGCTCTGCCGGCCAAACAGATGTTTACGAGACGTTCTGCGGACAGCAGAGGCAACTGCGCTTGCAGACTTTCCCCCTCTTTGCCCAGCGCAGCACAAGGCGCCCCTTTTGGAGCTGTTTAACAGGAGGGATGGAAACCAACCCGGAATCTGTGACAGCCATTCCTGGAGGTGGCTTCTAGCCCAGCCTTCCCCAACACGGCACCCTCCTGATGTTAGAGTGTGACTCCCCGCAACTGCCAGCTGACTGGGGATACTAGGAGTTGTAGTCCAACAGTTCCAGAGGGCACCATGTCAAGATAGGTCAGACAAGTCCACCTGTGTTTTACCTCCTTGCTTCAGGCCTCACCAACTGCCAGAAGAAATGCCAGTATCAGACTCCTTTTTTTTTTCAGAACAAAGAGCAGCCCTAACAGAGCATACCAAAACGTACCAGGAAACCTTGTCCTGAAGGAAAGGCAGCTATTATCTCTGTGAACAGAACGCTTCTCCTTAGAATCTGGATGTTTAAACTTGACCCAGAAGCTGGCACTTACAGTTCACAAACCCACTGGATTGCGACAGGTGGTTTTTTTTTTTGCAAACCAGATCGTCTTTTTTGCATCCTTTCCATTTTGGTTTCTGCCTCCTCCACCAGGTCATCAGCTGCCCGGTGCCTCACCATGCCCAGGCCTCCCAGGAAGCCCACCAGCATCAGTGGAAGCGCTTGCTGCCCAGCCCTTTGCCTTTAGGGCCACGCTACTCCTGAGCCAGGAACTGTCATTTCGATACTATGGCCTCTGGCAAGGCCTCTTTGCTTCCAGAAACCTGTCTGATTCCCCCAGCCCCAATCGCACCCCTTTACAATCTTCTAGATGTGTGGAATCAGCCCCACACTGGCTCTGGGTCTGAGCGGAGGGCTTGTGTTGTGCTGCACCTCCTGCCCCTTGGATCTCCGTTTCCCAGCCTCACAGGAAGCCACCCTGCGCCTGCTGCAGCTTGTACAGTTTGCCTCCAGACTCTCTGGCTATAACTTCTAAACCCACCGGGGTCAGCAGGCCACAAGGGCAAAATTTCTCTTCAAAATGCCGCATTCTAATCGGCTTACCTCCGTGCAGCATCGAAGTTGCTTTTTACGAAGTCATTAAAGGGTCGCATGTGCTCCTCCTTTGTAAACAAGACATGGTTGGCAATGCTTTGCAGTACCTAAATGATAAATAGAAGAGCTGAAACTCCTGGCATAAACGGTGGCACAACAGCCTGTTCCAGGAAGTTACTTTGTTTAGTGTTATCTCTGCATTCACAAAGGATCTATTTTCATTAGAGCTGACGGGACATTTGGTAGCACAAATGTAATCTGCTGTGTACACACCAAAGAAATCTATCCGCCACCAGTGTGACTTGATGTGGCTCAAGGAAAACACACTTTACAGCACTTGACGCTTGACCTTTCTATTTAATCAATATTTTAGTATCTTTTAATACTGAATTTTATTGTTGCATTTTATTAATTTGCAGCCAGAGTGGATTGCCAATTTATCTATGTTATGAGCCGTCCAGAGATGTAAGTCATTGGACAGTACACAAATGTAACACATAAATAAATAAATAATCAATCAATCAATCAATCAAGACTACTGGAGTCAAAATGTTGCTATTTCCTTTGCCAAAAATAAGGATCGGTCTACACATTGAGCAAAATGAGGTGAGTCAGTGGACTGTACTCTTCTTTTAATGTTTCCCAAACTTAAAAACAAACCTTGTAAGTTAAACAGCAAGGAATGCATCAGACAGAGTGCTCCTAGTCTGGCTGCTCAGTTGTGAGAATCTTATATTCAGGGAAATGAGGCAGAAAATGTGCACCGTCTGAAGCGCTACAGTGAATTCTACCACCTTGGAACTCATCCGCCTCATCTCATGGCTCTGCTCTTTCAATACTAAGTAGGGCTTAAAGATGAGGCGAACACCCTGCAGCCCATAAGCCAGATGCAGTCCTGGCTTTTTTCACGGCTCAAGTTTTGGTGGTGATAAAGCAGCAAAATAAGGACGACTGCTCTTTTAAGATACCACAGGGAAGGTACTGTTTGCCACTGCTGCTTGTTGGCCCAGCAGTCATGCCACCCAATTTTGGCAGAAAATTCTTTCCCGCATGGTGATCTTCTGCAGAGGGAGAAGGTTTGTTCCCTGAGCCCCTGAAGGTGTCCACTTGGGGTTTAAAACAATTATTCATAAGAGGGGGCTTGCCAAGGTGTTTAGAGTGATGAATAAGTTGGGCATGAGGGAGAGAACATATTGCCATCTCCCACAAAGTCATAAGCATTTCAGTTGTTTTCTGTCTTCCACTCTGTGAAAAAACAAAAACCAGGCTTTCTTCAAAAGAATGGAAGTCTTCCAAATCCTTCTGGGCAAAGATACACCCTTGCAAAGCCCTTATTAATTTGTCAGAAAATGTGCCATTAATGCCTTCAGTGAAAATGCATTTCAAACAGCCATAATTAGAGTTTGCCACATTCCACCAAGACAACCCTCTCCACAAACATGCAGAAAAGAAATCCACTTTGTCACCTTTGACATTAACTTTAAGCCCCTTTCGATCCTTGGAGGGGGTTTCTTATCCAATATCCCTGCCTCATATGGAGAGACAATGGCGGGATTGATAAACCTCAGGAACATGGCGCTTCCCACAGCTCCGATGCTGTTCTGTGGAAACCGCTGGCTGACAACCTGAATAGCACAAGTCAAAATTTAATAAAGGCACAGTTTAGACAGAAGGGGGAAAACAAACATGAACAAGACAGTGTGCGGGCATTTCGACTCCCTAATGGCTGCCAATCCTTCCGTACGCGTTGCTGCACAGGACGAAAAGGGACAGGGGCCAAAATGGCTGCAATTAAAGAGACTCCTGAGACAAGGATCAAGTTGTTATTAGAAGATAAGAAAGAGAGAAAGAAAGAGTGGGTTATTGATAACAGTATAGGCAAGGAATGAGTTTACTCTGCCATTTTTCCCTTTTGCCCCAAAACACACACCCTCTCTCTCTTGCAAAATAAGCAAATTCAAATAATTCAAGACAGATATCAAAAAGCCACTTCAAAGTCCTCTAATGTAAAGAAAATTAAGAGTTCCTTTACATGCAGGCTATTATTCCCAAATCCTGGAGTAACACTTGGCTAATACAACGGCTAAGTTCAAATATTCAGCTCAAAACACTGGCTAAATCACAAGAGTGAAAAGGTAATTTTCGCTTCATACATCCACTGGCAGCAACCATCAACAAAACATAAATTGCTATAGTGCATTGATAATACTTCTAGATAACCTGCAAAGAAACAAACAAAACTACCTGTGTAGGGAAAGGAGTGGAGCACTCGCAGTATTTACTACGGAGATAGTCAATTCAAAACATCATGTAGAACTCTGTTTATTCCCCCAAAGAAGGAAAAACAAAACATAGCAAAGCAGTTCATACACTTTTCACCCAGGATTCTTTGCACGCTCTGGCCCAATTGTGATCTAACGGGGCTGTTTCAAAAATCATGGTTTGTTAGACTGCGGATGAGACACAAACTCAGGCGCTGGCAGCCAACTCCCTCGGGAGTGAATCCTGGTTTGGGATTCTGGCCTTCTTAGGGCCACATCCTTTGGGACTGTCAGGCAGGTATGGTACGGAGGGGATACGGGCACGCAGAACCCACATGGGTGGCCAAGTTTTGCAGAAGGGCCTACGGCACATGCGCCTTGAGGGAGCTCAGGGAAAGCGTGGGCAGGCCCAGCCGACTGCGCTCCCAGACCTCCAAGGCACAAGGAACCGAACCTGCTCATTCCGACACATCCCACCTTTCTTCTGCAATAAAATACAAGGTGGCGAGCTTTGGGGTCCCAGGCAGTCTCCCAGCCAGGCACTGTTCTGACCTAGAAGAGGTGGACATACACCCACAAAAGGTTTTTGTGTCAATTCACAGGATAAACAAAACTGGCAGTGTCCTTCTCGGCCGACCTTCCCTACTTGGGTGGTCTCCAGATGTGCTGGATTACAACTATCACCAGCCTCAGTTAAGGGATGACAGACACTATACTCAAACCATTTAAGAGGGTGTCGGCTTGGGGTATGCTGATCTAGACACCTGCAGTTCCCTAGGGATTTCACCGCAGAGTGCACTGTTCTGTTCTTCCAAGAATGATGCCAGGCCCCAAAACTACAGAGTTCTCTCTAAGAACCTGATATTTTCCCAAAGCTGGGTCAGCAAGCGGTAGCCCGTGGACCGAATCACCCCCATTCCACCCTTGCTAGCCCAGCTTTCTGTTCAGAACGCCTTTGCCGATCAGGCACGTCGCGATAAGCAGGTTGGGCTCCTTTCCCACCGTGACGGATGACAAGAGCGCGCAGAGAAAATGGGAATCCAATCTGAGCCAGGGCTCTGAAGATGCCTTGTGACACACGGACATGACTGGAACCATTTCCACCGGAAATGCAGAAGCCTTGGAGATTAAGTGCAGCCCTGCTGGATCAGACCAAAGCCCAGTCTGTGCAGTCCCGTTTCTCACAGATTAGATGCTTCAAGGACACTCACAAGCAGAATGCCAATGTGAGAGCGCCACTCATGTGCCCCAGCAACTGAATTCACAGGCAACCTGCCATCAATACTGGAGGCATTATGAAGACTCTGTGACCAGCCGCTCTCATGAAACAAAACCTCCAGTCAATTTACTTGGTGCTCCTCTTGGAGCGAGCAGGACTCACCTACACTGGCTACCTTCATCTGCTGGCAGAGAACAAGAGATTGAGCAATCCACTAAAACATGTTTCCAGGCCAAAAACCTCAGAACTACAACCCAGAATATGGGCAAAGCAAACACGAAGAGGTTCTCACCTAAGTGAGGTTCACCAGAACGTATTTGTTTTGGGTAAGCAAACGCCCAATTTCATTAGGCAATAGGGAAGTCTTATCAGGTTAAAAACAAAGGGAGATAAAATAGAGAAGAAGAGGGGGTTTGCATCTCCCCCTACCTGGATTGCATTCTGGTTAGCAAAATGTTTACAATATTTCAAAGCAAAACCAGCACCTTTGCAAGAACCTTGGGTTTTCTGCTCTTTCATACGTAGGGGGGAAAGTTGGAAAGTAAGGCCAATCCATCTGTGCACAGATCTTGTACTCTACCTCCAAACGGGTATGGATAACTGAAAGATTTTTGCCTTGGCTGCTCTGAAAGCTGGTTTCATAGGAATGGGTTGTTTTAGGAACCTGCCCCAATTCGGTTTGTTTTCATCCACAGCATCACAATCCAACCCTCAACATCCACCTCCACCATGTGCTAGCACTTGCATGGTGTGGATGTTTTCAATCAAACCCCTGCGGCCTCCAGTGCTTCCTCCTCCTCTGCCAATCAGGTGAAGTGGAAAGCGATACCGATTCTCGCTGGATGCCTTCCTTTTCCTGGGAGACGCTACCACCAGTGCAAACATATGCCTTGCCCTTGTTTCCTGACTTTCCCCTTGTTATTTCGCATTGCAAATGGTGGCAAAGAGAGGATCATCAGAATGCTAGTGTAGAGGTGCAGAGGTTCCCAACTGGAAATTGAAAGAGACATTCAGAATTTTTGTGGAATTATTACTATTTTTAAAGACAGGTGTGACTTCAGCCCAATGTTAATTAAAATGAAAGCTCTTTGGTGCCAGAATTAGTAGAATGATTTTACAACAACAGTCTAAGAAGGGTGGAAGCGAAGAGTTGTTGGAATGAAGACATTTGGGGAATGGGGTGTTTGTGTGCTTTGAAAGAAATGGCTAATAAAACTTCTCCAAAACTTACTGATTTTTTGTTTTCCTTTTTTTCCTTTACGGTAGCTTTATTCAGGAGAGAGTGGCAAGTTGCCTACAGAACAGAGATTAGCACAAACAAGTCACAGCACCAACCACATACAGCAACAAAAAACCCAATGTCCATTTGTACACAAAATCACACGATCAAATGTTACAGAACGGAACAGGAAATGGAATAGACACGGTGATGTTGGGTAGCATTTGAATTTCATGTGGGTGACCACAACGGGTTCACAAATACAAAGCAAGCAGATGTCAGGGTTCTAATCATTTCTACTATTTCTGGCTAGGTTAAGCATTTTAGAGTATTAAATTGCTAAGGTTACATGGCAACCCGCTGTATGTTCTTATATGCAGAATGTCTTCCACAAAGGTGCAGTGGGTCCTTCACAAAAGCTTTCCCCATCCCCCAAACTGGATGTGGGACAGGCTGACTGAGACTTGTAGAGGATTTTTTTCCCCAGATAAATCGCCCTTTAACCCACCTACACAGCCTTGCTCTTTCTTGAACAAGCTTCCGCAGAAGACAAAAAGACTAGGTCCTGCTAAGGGAGCTGGGTCTCTGCTTGCTGCTACTGCCCCCTAACCACACAAAGTCCCAGAAGGTAGGTCCTATTCCAGGACTGCCTGCACTGTCTCCCAAACTTCAAGAGCTGTGACTCTGCACTTCCTTGCATTCTTACCCAAAGCATCCATTGAGATACAGGACACCTGCCTGATTCACGGCAAAAGCAACAGACACTTTGTTGATTTGTTCATTGTGCAAAAAAGATGACAGATCAAGGTATTCTTGAGATGCTACACCTATCCCTGGGGACAGTCCTGAGTCTTGGTCTCCAGGGATAACCATTCCCTAAACACAATCCTCGTGGATCCCCCTCCAAAATGGGTGGGTAACCTTGGATGGCTGCCCCTCTTCCTCTGCACCCTTTCTTCCAGCCCACAATTAAAGAGGATGCTTCCAGCTTTTGTGCAGTTTTTCTGCTGATTCTAAAAGATCTCCCTCTGGGGAAGGCACGCATGTCCCAGGCAGCGACTGACTACACTGTGCGATCACAAGCAAAGCAGCTCTCCGGGGGGGGGGGGGGTGGCTGTAATTAGGGGAGGCCCATGTTGCCAAACCTCTGCCCGTCCCACACACACACGGAGGATTTTAGGAAGCTGCGTTAGGATGCTTCAAGAACAATGTGGCAGAGCTGGAATTTAAGGTGGCACACCAAAGGGTGAGAAGAGAAGCAGAATTCGAAGCAACATCCAGGCCCCTTTTGAGCAGGTGCAGATTTTGAACAGCCTTTCTCTGCGACAGCACTGCAATCACCCCCCTGCCCACACCCCAGTTGCAGCCAGTGACAAGCAAGCTCCAAAAACAGTCGTTTGAGGAGCATGGCCACAGCCCACCTCGAGCATTCTCCCTGATCTCCAAGCAAGTGTCCTTGGTGAGACGGCAGGTGGGTTTCAACCTGCAGGCCTCAGTATTACTGAGCACGCTCAGGACCATAGCGTCTCGCCAGATCCTAGCTCCAGATTCAATTAAATGGGGTGGGAGGCAGAAGAAAATGCAATGGAACTAGCTCCCCACTTTTAGGAGCACCCAGGTTTGAGAGATGCTCACAAGATCTCTTGTCCCCAACCAACCCCCCATATTGCCCCCCCCCATCTATATATATATAGGTAAACTTGCTTTTGGGGGTAAAAGTGGCAAATAGCAAAAATAAGGCAAGACAGACCTGAAATTTGGGGAGGACTTGGATGAATCCCCCCACAACTCTGAATTTATCCCCATCTCTACCAAGAACTTATGGAAACTTATGGAATCAAACACACCAAGAACATATTATGTTTACAGCTTGTGATGGTTTAAATAATCCATCTAGTAACTTGGATCACCCTCATAGTGCTTTAACAGTCTGTCTCGAATTCTGCTCGGCAAAAGTGGGAGAGAAGTCACATTTACGAGCACTGGGTGTGTGGCTGGTCTCCTTTTCCACTGCCCCCAAGCCGGATTACAGGATCGCTCGTAATAAACATGTTCTGTGATTCTTCTACCATAGATCAAACCATGGTTGGCCACATTGCTACTGAAACTGGTTCAGCCATATATTTATCGAGAAACCTTTCTTCAAGGGAAAACTAACCTTGATTATTTATTACTTTCTAAGGCATTTCGAACTTCACAGTGACTTCATCATAAAATTAGTTGCATACTCTGGAATGTGGCTTAAAGCCTGTATCTAAAAAGGAAACTGCAGGCTCAGCCATCTTCCCAGATCCTGCAAATTATATCTATTATTTGCTAGTCCAATCACATTCTTACTTGGCAAGGAAAGCTCCTATGTACTTCCCCAAAGAATTGGATTAGGATCCAAGGGCTTTTGTTTTTTTTGTTTTTTTGTTTTTTTTAAAGCGGTAGGATACCCATTAATGACTTTACAAAACAACAAGTAAGGTCACACATACAGACACTGTGCATGCAAAGGACCTGCTGTCAGGAAGATTTCCAAGCTGGAGTCCTGGCAGGGACCCCTCCCCTCCTGCCTCCTGTTATATCTAGAGGAGGATCCCACCCTCTCCCCCAGCACTCTTCCAACAGGGCACCTCAGGACTTTCCGCTTAAGCATTTTGCCTCCTCACCTCATCCTCTCTTGTACTTTCCAGTGTTTGCTTTGCTACCTTCTTATTGTGGAACCCACGGTAGCTTGCGGTGATGAATTTGCACAACACGGCGGGGATAAAGTTCTTGGATGCATCACGAGTTGGACACCATGGGGAATACGGTTCCATTCATGGAGCTATCCAGAGCACCATCAGGTCTGGTTTTGTTGGGTGAGTCTTAGCTATTGAGGCTTGAGGATGTAGACAAGGTGGGGACCTCTCCTAGATATACTAGTGGGTGGGAGGGGAGAAGTTCCCACCAGAATGGGTCTAACTTGGAAATCTTCCTCCCAACAGACCCTCCGCACAAGCACGGAGCCCGTATGTGTGATGCACAAAGCCACAAAGAAGAACACCTATTTCCAGGGAATGAGGAATCTGGATGGATTTGCAGAACTCCCCCTCCCCTATTATCATCGTTGCCCCCTGCTCCAGGAATTCCAAGCGGAGGAAAAATAGGACAAGGCACAGCTAATAACCGTTTGATCATTTGCCATATTCAGGGGTGGAGGAGAGAAATGAAGTGCACTGAAACAGTAAGTTGGGGAAGGGGCTTTGACAGCAGCACTGTACTGATCAGACAGACTGCAGAGAATTTGGGAAGAGGCAGGAGAGTTCCTTTCTCCAGCAGCCCATATTCCTTCATTAAGACCTCATCTGCTCAGAATGCCTCCAAAGTGGGAACGGGGAACCCACAAAATGTCTCGAAACTGCTTCCACGAGGAGCACAGCTGGAACGGGAGGGCTGCCCCTCTTCGTGCCGGCCACCAGCAAAACATGAAAACGAGCAATTTTGGGCTCAGGCATACCTGATAAAGGCAGTGACATACACTTCGAAGCTGGGGTGGGAACTCCGCGGAGGAGTTGATGATGGCGTGGAAGAATTTGTCCGTCATCTGCAGAAGGCTCCGCTGGTTATCCTCAAGGCTTTCGCTGGATTCCAGCCTACAAGACACGACTGCCGTTGGCTCCTCAAAGCTAGCCAACTCAATCCATGGGAGATACATGGGCCATGTCAGCACATCCGAAGCTATAGCAAAACTTTCCTTTGGCTTGTCATTATCGAGAATACAGAGCTACTGAGTTGCAGCTGGATTAGGCCTAGAGTTTGTTTCAACAGCCTGGCACCTGTGCATGTTTTTCCCAGCAGCCAGGGAGAAACCCTCTGAAAGGACTGGGCCAAACTCACCTGTCAAAACATGCCTAACTATGGTATACTTTTCTATAGATTTTAGGAGCCATTCTTGGTGGGACTGCAAAATGTAAGTATAAAAAATTTGACAAGTCCTGAGCCACAGTCCTATCTGGGCTCGATAGCGACTGCAGACCTCACACTGTGGAGAGGGGAGGATAGAGAAAAGGGCAGGTACTGGCAATGAGGTCTCTTCTAGCAAAACCAGAGTTCCAGGTCTCATCAGAATCTTTTTAGAATCGCAAATGTAATTTAACATTCCCCTCTCAACAACAAATATTGTACCAAGGGATCCACAACTGAGTATTGTGGATTTCTCTCCCTCCCCATTGTGCCAGATTCAAACCTTGTAGGGTCCACCTCGAAGCTGACATGTTGCCATTCAGAAGACGTGATCACCATCCTTAACAAAGGCTCCAAAAGCTTCTGTAAATAAGTTGCCCCATAGACCTGCAGGGGAGAGTTTGCTGTATCAACCCAGGACGTCAACAAAAATCGGTGCCATTAAAAGCATCGCGGTATGATTATTTCTTTCAACTTGTTGAGCGGTCAACCTTCTGAAAAAGGGCACACGTTGTGAGAAAAGGAGGGGTGGTTGTCTCTAAAAAGGCACCTCCACCTTCTATTCCCCTGCAAAATGTGCCAACTCTTGCCGCCTGTGTCCTGGTTTGCCCTACCTGGCTCCGTACCACTGGCTGCCATGGATGGAGGGAGGAAGTGACTTACAAGGTGACTGCAGACTCAAAGTAACACACAGGAGTAAGACAGTGGCTTCTTCGCTCTTTGCCTCACCTTACACTGCCTTTTAAAACTCAGTGTGCTCTCAGTTGAAGCTTGGCCTGGAGACACCTCATTTCGAAGAGACCCTCCAACCAGGAGCGATGCGCCATCACATGCAATGAAGCCCACTGGTTACACTGCAGAAAACAAACTAGGGCGCAGTTTCTGCAGTGCTGATGGAGCCGCAAGGACACTGCACCACCTGGAAATCTGCTCTGTGCAAGGGGAACTCCCCACGTGCAAAACCACAAGGGTTTTTTTTTTTAACTTGCACAATTCATTGCAAACGTTTTAGCCAAATCGAATTAAGTCCTTTCACTGATGGGGCTGTTCCTGTCAGCCAAATGGGGGAAGGGCAATCCCCACTCCATTCAAAATCTGATCCACCATCTATTTGCATTGCTTCTCTCCCCGTGTGTGCGTACAACTGCTCGAGGCTGGCATTACTGGGCACCTGCCAAGGCCCACACCTCTACCTGGGGTGCAGCAGCACCTTTGGCCTCCTGTGGCTTGAGGCTGTCATTGGATGCCTCGCCTCGCCTCGCCTCGCCTCCCTTGGGCAAGCAGACAACAGCGGTGACCATGGCGGCAAGGAGTAGGCAGATAAGCTCAAGGCGAGGCCCACATCCTGCATACAGGCAACTGGCACGCTTAGAACTGTCCCACCCTTTGTTCAAGAGGCCTACACACTTAACAGAATTTGTTTTGACCTGTTTACACGTCTTAATTTTGTCAAGAATTCCGGGTAATGATACTTCTTAATAGGAGAGCGAGACAGTGAGCATACAATCATTGTCCTGTTTTTAACGTTTTTTCCTCTGCCGCCTTACTAAAACAGATGAATCTAAAATTCAACTAACTTGAATTCTATTGATTTGCAGCAACAGAACAAAGAAGCAGTGACCTGGTTCACAAGACACAAAAGCCTGCTGCGGCTTGGTTCCCCTACCGCTGCGGTACCTTGGCAGGCGTCCGCAGACACTAATTTGCAGGGCGTCTGTAGATGTGCAGCTCGCTGCAGCTTCTTGCATGATGGGAACCCAGGGTGCAGGGCTTCTCCAAAGGTTACGCAACCCACACATCGCCTTCAAAGAAGCTGCGGGTCATCTGGGAGCTGTCTAACCCTTAAATAACCCCTGCCACCAGGGTCACATGACACGATGAACCACAGACAAAGTCAGCCAGGGCTGCTTAATTGCAGGCACCACAGCATCCTACAAGTTAATTAACCAACAGTGGCTTGTCAAAACCCATGAACTGACCCAGTCTGTGCTGCTGAAATTTTAATCGGCTAGCAGAATAGCAACAGGATACCCTAAATGGTGAAGGCGGGAAATCTTTCGAGTCCACCTGGCTTTGTGCTCTGCTCCATCCCATCCCCCTCTCTGTTCTTGAATGAGATTCGATTAAGCTCTGAACTACCTTAAAACAGAAAGTCATTATCTTGCTAGCAAGGCTGTTTCCCCTGAAGAGCGTCTGCATGGAATCGGCCAGTTCAACCTCTTTTGAAAACATGTTCCAAAGCAGCTGGTAGAGCAAGTGCCTGGAGTCGAACAGAGTGACGAGCACACGGGCCAGTTCGTCCTTGCAAAGAAAGGAAGGTGACAAGGAAAGGAAGGCACAACAGTGTTAATCAGCTTCCTCCAGAGGACCATCCAAGACAGAAGCTGTGAAACTAAAAAGGCACCGTAACCGAGCTGTGATATGCCTGAAACTCCTTCTGACAACACTGTTTGTTTCTTCAATGTGTTTTTCACCTTGTTCTGCAGCTGCAAAGCATCCCAGCACATGATGGAGCTACTCTGCTGAAGCAGAACAGACCTGGGTCCAGTGAGCACCTGGGTAAAAGGCCACCTCGAAACCCCTTTATGAAGAGCCCCCGTTCGTGAGGCAACGTGTTTTATGGTTTCAACTGTGACGTTTTCTTCCAGCAACTGAGAAGGATAACATGGCCAGTGAGCTGGGCACCCGACTGATCCCGACTGGAAGCAAAGAGAGTGCGTCCGTTGGCTGAGTTCCCACTGCTTTGGGCATAACCCTCCCTTCCTGGAGAGCATCAACTCTGCACCTCTTCCAGGTCTGCAGGAATTACAAATCCCAGCTCCACTGGGAAACCAGGCACTGCTATCCACTACCAGTGCACAAGAGAAGGGGCCAACACCAGTCAGGCCCAGCCTCTGGGGCACATTCAGACAGCCCACAGGTCTCTTCCACCGCTTTCCACGAAGCAGGTTCTTGTTACCTGCTTAGGGTAAATCTGGAAAGTACCGTGAAGACCTACGCGCACAGTGGCATGAGCCAAAGGGCCATGCACATGGAACCAAGGGATTTTCCTACCCCCCCTTGCTTCATCTCCCCAAGAAGTCACTGCTGAACATCGGTGATGCTCCAGAATTATATCAGCGGCAGAAGCACTTGTCACAAACGCAATCAGAACTATTCATTGGTATAAAACTTCTTGTATATTAGATGTATTAGATTTTGAGCCCACGTTTTTCCTTTCAAGGTACTCAAAGCAGCTTCCAACATTCTCCTCCTCTTACCCCTGCCACAACAACCCTGCGAGTAGGCTGGGCTGAGAGTCTGTGACTGGCCCAAAGTTTCCCCACGAGCTCTGTGGCTGAGTGGGGACTAGAACCCAGATCCCCCAGGTTCCCTGCCCAGCACTCTAACCACTAGGCCACACTGGCTCTTACCCTGCTTGTGCCTGAATCGCTTCTGCTCGTGAACTTACATGGAGGAGGAACAATCCCCAACACAATTCTTCTTCTTACCCACTGCGAGCAAGGGACCACGTTTGCCAAGGCCATGGCAATGGGCAGCTCCCCCTGGTCGCCCATCATGGTGACCAGCTCGACCAATCTCTCGAACCGATCTGCCAGCACCGTCTCTGCCAGGGTGTCAAACTCCGTGCCCTGCTGCAGAATTTTGGTGAGGACCTCCATGAACGTTGCTCTTGTTTGGAGGTCTCTGTGATACCCCAAACCTACCAACAAATGGAAAGATTCAGCCGAAACAGTCACCTGCCACACGGCGTGGCCAAATATCCCCAGGTCCCCTGCTTTACCTATGGAGTGCATAAGGCCGCTGTCCACGTTCGCGTTGAGCAAGTTGGACATGGCCAGAACCGTGCAGTGGCGCAACGAGGCCAGCCTTCGGGACATGCCGCGTTTCCGGCCGCCGGTTTGCGCGCTTTCATCTTCGACTTCACTGCAGTCGTTCAGGAGGTTCATGAACAGCGTGAAGTACCTACGGGCAAAAACAGCGGTTTGCGTGTCGTGTGGAAAGCCATTTTTTCATCAGGAGCGGGCCTCTTCTGTACAGACCCAGACGAACTTCCCCCACAAGGTACTTCTATGTTGTGATATGTTCCACCTGCAAATTCTCACCCGCCACCAACTGTGACCTGTTTTTGGCACAAAGAAAATAGCTCTTTAACTTTCCTAGGTCTTTCACTGATCTTTTCTCAATGTGCTGATTTATGCTGCTTTTATATACTGGTTTTAGCCAATGTTTTACTGTTGTTGGAATATGTATCTGGCTGCATCACTTGCAAGCCACCTAGAAAAAGGGTTTTGCTTTTTTCAGTGACAGGGTGGTATGTCAAACCACCAGGGCTACCTGTTCCAGCATTCACCTGGGCAGTGAGAGGGTTTTCTCACCTAGGCTAGCCACTGGCTACCCCGAAGAGGAAGGACAAGAACAAGTCTCCCTGTTCAGGCTGAGACAAAACTGCTTATTAGTTCTTGCTCCTGCTCAATTAAGAACCTACAAGCCTTCATATTTCTAAAGGCTTCTCTTTAAACTTGTCAACAGAAGCATAAACTCTGCTTTGCAGTCAGATCCAGAAACTTAAGGAACAATTTAAGGAGAGAGAAGTAGGCTCAGGTTACCCCCACCCTGTTCCCATGGGGAGACTGATACAAGAAAGCCAACTGGAGAGCCTACAATTACTTCGATCCAAGATATCCATTGTGATAAATCTTTTTTAGAATGTTTTACGAGAGTCAAGGGCATAAGACTGCAGCTTTCTCTGTCTACGTCTTAACTATTTCCACAAAGACTACATGTCTACATTGCCCAAATGTAACAGAATTCTAGCTGTTTTGATCAGGAAGTTGCTACAAAAATAATAACGACAGCCTTTACTTAAGGAACAACTGTGATTTAGCTTCCATCAGTTCAACTCCATCTCCTTCCTCAGGTTGCAGCGGAAGTCCCGCAAGGAGAGACACCACGGCTTCCATGCTGGCCTGGTCCAAGTCTCTGAACAAAACAGGAAACAGAACCGAGTTTAAATGGAGGATGGAGAAAGACTTTGATCCAGCCCTTTACGCTGCTTTGCTCTGTTGAGTTGTGGCCCCGGATACACTTCCTGGGCATGTGTGGCTTTCTCTGGGGAAATCCATAAACAGCATAAAGTGCCTAAAGGCAAAAGCAGTGGCTTGCATGTCACGGTGGAGAACCCGTTTTTCGTAAGAAATGGATCTCTGCTGCACAAACAGAAATGGACTTCCCCTGAGAGGCACCTATTGATGTCCCCAACTTGCAATTCTGAACCACCAACAACTAATATCCATTTTTGGCACAAAGAATATAGCTTTTTAGTTCTCCGAAGGTCCTTCAACACTCAGTTTGATATGCACTGTTTCGTGCTGCTATTCTGAACCTCCGCAATGACCTCACACCTTGTGAAACACACCTTTGGGCACACCTCGCCCAGACCTCAACCCATGCAACCACACGGAGGGCTTCCTCTTGGTCGCATCTCTTTTTCTCTGATGGCTTACTGGAAATGGGTGGACCAGCCCCACAATCGGAGCCCACGCAGGTGCCCGCGGCCTGCTTTTCCCATCTCATGCTGTAATGGAGGAAGAAGAGCATCTATTGCTATCAGGACATACCTTGAGCCATATTCAGCTATCCTTGTGGACGATGCCCTCTACTGTTAAAAGTCAGCATTTCAGCCCTCTTACCTGGTCAAACATTTCACATCCTCATCTGTGGCCTGGTTGGACGTTCCCATAACCCAGTCTGTCAGATATTCTACCATCTTGTTCCTGAAAAATTACAAAAGAAAGGATTTGGGGGAAAAAACCCTCCCAAAGCCATAATAATGCAGTACAGGGTTAGAGTAAAAGGCACTTCCAAAGTAAAGTGCTAAATAAAAGGATTTCTCAGAAATATTAACACACACATGCTCGTTGTTACATACAAACAAAAAATGTTTTAAAATAACCTTTAGCTTGTTAAGTGAGCCAGCAACACAACCCAGGGAATGCAGCAGCCTCGTTTGACAAATGAGTGGCGTATTTTTGAACCACGATTCCTGGGTTGTTTGCATGAACCCAGGAATCTGTTATGGTTTATTCCTCTTGCATGAGAATGAGGGGGAGTGTGCAAGACCAGGGCTTTGCACAGGCGGCAGTCTGCTTCTGCAGGTAGCACTAAACCGTGGTTTGGCATTGTGTGTGACTCTTCTCTTTGTAAGCTACTCCATGGACCCTCACCTGAATTTCATCTCTTGGCAGAAGGAAAGGTCATCACGCCTCTCCATCATTACCTTCACGAGCTGACAGAGCTTGGTTTTAATCTGAATTGCGTGTACCAGGTTCCCAAGGACACGCACATACCTGTGAGGAGAGAGCAGACACAAGTCTCGGGATTAAATGAACTCCCAAGGACTGAACCGCTCCATGGGCATCTTCTTCAAATCAAGACCCTGCTTGGGTCCCGACGACACACAGACTGATCCAAAGGCTTAACGTGTTGGGTGAGAATTCGGCCCACAAACTGAGAGCCAGTGGCTCCTGAGAGAATCCGCCTCCGGGAGTGGCGTCGGGAGCATCCTGCGACAGGGAAAAGGGACCGACTTGCCTGACGAGGTTCAGCATCATGGCCTCGATGCTCGCTTGCCCCAGGTGCTCTGAGCTGCCTTCGGTATGGTTGTCCAGAAGGTTCTTCATGATGGCAATGGTCTGCTCCACAAACTGCGTGTTGGTGTCATTCAGCAAGACCTGGGCAGGAACAGATGGTGCTGTGGTTAAGTTTTCTAGGTAACACAACAATGAGCTGCAAATCTGGACTGAAGCTGAAACACTCAGGCAGTGCTAAACTGAAGCTGAGTTCACAGGCTGCGGACAAGCAAAATTGGGCACGTAAATTTGCAGCTTTGGCCAACCTTGGAGAATGTCCTCCAGACGGGAGCTCATCTTGAAGGATGGAATGCATACAACATGGACAGAGCCCCTTCTCAGGGCTTAAGTTAAAGAGGGTCCCCTGAGGAAGAATTTGAGTCCCAGACTCAAATCTGGAAAAGACCACCTGACAGAATCCTGCAGACAGACTGTTTCTCTCTCTAGGGTTTTTTTCCCCTTAGGTATTTTGGAAGTGTGAAGCACCTTGACAGTTTTGGCAGAAACGTAGCTCAGAGTTGCAGTCAGTGAGGCAAACTGCATGCATATTAACCATGCAAGTGAATGCTTGGAAAAGAAATCTGAAAAATCAGAAGGAAAACTTTTTCCCCACTGATTGTATTTCCAAAAGTTAGAGACACTAGAAGACTTTGGCTCTCTAGCCTTGTATTATGTAATTCTTAGTCATCCTCCAAGGGAAGTAAAGATCAGGTAGCCATATATGAAGAGCTTATCTTGAGGATCTGAAACCATCATTCTAACAGAAAATATTTAGTGAGACAAAACTTCATTTCCGGGATCAAACAAAACGCCCGCCCACTTCTGCATCGTCTCACCTCCACTGAACGGTTCCATGTCTTCACCTCGGCATCTCTAAGCAAGGGATTCTGGATTATTGCAATGGCTTTCCATAAGAATCTAATTAAAGCAAAAGGGTTACCTGCCCTTGAGAGTCAAAGAACTTGCTGATGTTGTGCTTCAACTTGTTGAAGAGCATTGGGTAAAGAGCAGGGCTCAGCTCGAGCCCCATGAGTTCCTTGATGTTAGTCCGTATCTGCAGGCCCACTTTCTCATGGGTGCACACCATTAAAGACAGCAAGCGGTCCATGAACTTGCTCACGGGCATCTCCGTGTTGCCTTCGGTGGACAGGATGGATATCATGGATCCTTTGCGCTCACTCACAGGGCCCATGGGAGGACTGTAGGATGGAAAGGGTGTGCTCCCGCGGTACTGAAGGCACACCCCGCCGAGGGCGCACAGGAAGCCCGTCATGTTGATCCACTCTTGCAGGGAGTCTGTGTCGGAGAGGTCGATGGAGCCTCCCCCACTGACGTGAGACATGCGTCTTTTGACTATCGTCTTGTGAAGGCTTTCAGTGACCTGGGAAGAATCACACCGGGGTGTGGGAAACGGCATGATGCTTGGTCTGATGCTCATGAGGCGCCTGCATGCATTTGGTTGCTCATTTCAGGCGGCAACCTGCTCCCCACCCACCCCCAAGAAATCCTAGGACATCAGAAGTCCTGTTTTAGAGAAAGGAACCGTTGAGGACTGGCTTCCTTCTGCCTCGCAACCGCTCTCCCATTCCATTCCCAACAGATCACGAGGAGAGGCTCCTACCCAGAACCTTTATCATGCTAGAGCTGGGACTAGAATCATGATACAAGGCGTGTTTAGGCACTAGCAGGCATGAAGTTAAAACCCTCCCATCTGGGGAGTCACCCATAATGCCAGGAGTCCAGTGGGCTTCCCCTCCCCGCTTCCCAGCCAAAGGGAGTTGATGCCATCCGCTGCTCTCCTGTTTTATGTTACAGTTCTGCCCGCTGTGTTGCTTTTTTATTTGATTTGTAAGACGCTTGGGAAATTCTACTGAAAAGCTCATTGATTCACAAATGAGCCCAATCAATGCTACATTTAGAACAACCTCCCCACAAAGCTGACTGCCTTCTAGAAAGGTGGAACTGATAGACGGCAGAGAATGGTCTAGGTCTGACAGAGTGGGAATGGAAGAGACTCGGAAGATCCGCGCTCTAGGCCCCACTCAGTCATCAAGCACACTGGGCAAGTTTGAGCCACTTGCTGAATTTCACCCAACCCCACCTCACAGGGTGGCTGTTTGAGGATGAAACGAAAAGGAGGGTGACCGCATGAGCCACGTCCGCTGGGGGCGTAGCGGTGGCAATCCGAGGCCTCTGGTGGGCAAGGGGCCACATCAGGCACTCAACACAGGGAGGGAGACAGGTCCAGAAGTTGCTCCCGAGCAACCCGTCTTACCTGGCCATCTTCCATTTTTGTCTTTGGATAGTTGAGGATCAATTTTGTGGCTACATCCCATTTTAAATGTGTGTCTTCCCAAGCCTAGAGCACAAGAAAGGAAAGGATTTTCTGACCAGACAAGCTGCATGCAATTCCATCAACTGCTGAAGAAGGGAATATTTCCATAAGGAGAGAAAAACACGGAAGGAGGTACCTCTGTGTTTCCCGCTGTTGGATGCTCAATCCGCCTTAGCAACGCCATCACCCTTTTCTGGAGAGCCGCTCTTCCTAAGGAGAGGTGATCAAAACTCAGCAGAGTTTCAACTTCACAAGGTGGCTTTATCAGTGGTGGCCAAGCAATCCCAAACTGCAGGAGAGCGGAGCAGCTGAATGCCCCCCCCCTTTCCAAAGCCAGACCAGCTTGAAGTCATGTCAGTGTAGAGGGAAATGGACCTTTTCTATCCGCTCTGAAGGTTCCTTGTTTATTTTCCCGACTTCTGCCAGTGCAAGGCTGAGATAAGGGAAGCATCCAAACTTGGGGACTCACAGGATCCAAGACTGCTGCTGTCCCTACTGGATTTCACTAAGATTTCACTTAGAGAATCCGTGAACTAATTTAACGTGGAATATAAATTGAATATACCCACACACACAATATATCTATGAGATGGCCACTGGGCTATACATCTACAACTGTTTTTAGTTTTTGCTCTCCTTTACTTGTAAAAAGATGTGCATTATTCTGATGTTTGGGCAAAATGGATCCAAAGTCCGTCTGACTGGAAAAGAACCAATGAGGGTGGAAAGTCTTGTAACAGAAAGAAAGAAGATATGACAAGAAATGCTGTTTATTCTACAGGAGCATCACTATACAGATGCACCCAATATCAATCCTACATGTTTTCCCAAGTCTGAACAGCTCACTTGCTTATTTTCATTCGAGTTAAACACTTCCAATCCATTTAGGCAACAGCTTCAAACTGTATTCGACTTCAAACCAAGTTATTTTAGTTCAGTTTAAAATACATACTGCATGATTAAACGCGACTCACTTCATTATAATGCAACACGGCTCATTCCCCCATTCACTGTAACTGAATCTGGCTGAGCTGCCCCCGTGCTCCCAACATCAAAATTTAAAGAACAGCCTCACAAAGAGGGGGTGCTAAACATCACAGAATTTATCAACTCTAGTAGGAGTCTGAAGTGGTGGAAGTTAGCAAGTAAAGGCTGCATGCGATATCAAGGCCTGCTATGGTTGGACTTTGCCCTCCTTCCCCCACAGGAGAGGAGGAGACATGCGTGGACACCGGATGCTTGCTCTTCCTACAGCTAGAATTTCTTCACCCCAACAGGGGCTTCTTCTTCCAGCTGCCTGGAGGGAAGGATCCTGATTTTTATGTTAGTTAGCATTTCATCGTGACTTTAGCATCTGTAACTTACAAATTGCCCAGGTACGATTTGTATCCTGAAAGGTGGCACACCAATAAATGGAAAAAGGAAAGGGAGTAGAACAGGAAGGGCCCTCGCCTCCTGTTCCTTACCTGTCGACAGCATGTTGCTCACAGACGCAAACTCCATAAAGGTGTTGTAGTTGGGCAAGAAGTTGTGAACGGACACCTCGTCGACGCCGCACCGGATGTCTGCCTCCTCGCACAGGTGTCGGAAGCAGGACATCGCAACCAGCACCGCCTCCGTGTCGGGACTCCAGAGGGACATGTAGAGGGCCACCTCCAACTTGGTCTGTGCTTGGCGACAGATTGGTGTCCCGCTGCAGCCCGTAGCGCTTTCCTTAGGAGACAGGACAAGGGCAAAGTGAGCCCGTGTTCATGGGCCTTTAACTACCCACAGAGCTTCATCTATTGGGTGGTACGGAAATGAGAGAGGTGAACATGGTTTTAAAAGTCCGCTCTTCTTCCCAGCAACAGGAATTGCTCCTTGGAAACACATTCCAGGCAAGCGGTGGTACATCCAGGTCATGTGAGGAGATCAAACGGACATGACGTCTCAGACGTATTACAAACCTTGTTTTCTACCTCCCAAATAAATTTGCACAACAAAAGAAAAAGAGAGATCACCAAACCAGAAGGAGAAGGGCCTCTAAGTCAGAGTTTTGGAGGCTATCGGTTGATTACGATTATCCCATAATGCATTGTCGTTTCCCTGCCAAGGGGAAGATACAAGAATCTAGGCCTCCTCCTAAGCTGCCAGTGAGAGGCTAAACTCCTGGCCCTGTCTGTTCTCCTGGAATTTGAAAACAGGGTGGCAAGGTAAGGATGCTGGGCATCCTAGGACACCCCAAGGACTGGACCTCCACAACAGCATGGGAAGAGAGAAAATGATTAAAACACATGTCCGCTCAGCCAGTGCCCACACTGAGCCAGGAACTGAGTGGGAGACACAGCACCGAGAAATGCACATGAGAGGCAAGAAAATGGTTGCTGCTTGGGCAACATCCCAGCTGATGCAGGAAGCATTGACAGTCCTTCCTGTCCACAAGGGCCCAGTGACCAGCCTGGAGAGGCCGGTCCGATTCAAAGCTGGAAGATACTTTGCTAGCAGGAATACACTGCAAGTTGCCATCTCTGATAACCCATAATGCCCACAAATACGTTGGACTTGTGGGTTAGCAGGGAGAAGGCCCTGACCTGCCACCCCCATCCCTATTTATCCAAGCCCCCTGCGCTGCACAATGCATTTCCATGAGCAAACCCTAAGGCAAAGCACTGAGTGGGGTTTCACCTGAATGAGCGATTAAGATCCTAAAACCTGCTCCTGGTAGATGTGGAAACTGCTCTGAGATTCCCAGATATGTTGTTTCTCCCAGGTGCTAAGAAAAAAAAATCACCTGGAAATTTTGTAAGGAGCACATTTGTATGGAATGCTGGAGGAGATGGACCTTTGATCGGGTCAAGCACGCCCTTTGGGGTTCTCCAGTGTCCCGTCCCGTTCATTCCTTTCCTTGCGTGATCTCAGCTCTCCATGGCCAAAGTCCAACATGCTTCCTACTGTCCTGTCCTTTGCTGGCTGACTATTCTACAACCACTGGCTATTCGTAATCAACTGGCTGTTGTTGTTATTATTACTTATTCAACCTGTTTAAAAACTGCCTGTTACCATCCTCAAATTATGCTCCGTATTGCTGCTCTTTAGAGGGTGGGATGAGTTAGTGCAAACATATAGACACCGATCCCCACAGCTGCCAATGTTTCGCTGTGTCTTGGAAGCAGGGGCGGCAGGGACTGCCCCAAAGAGCCACAGCTGGTGACTTACCACATGGAGTGGCCACTCCCTGAACAAGGGGTAGTCCCGTTCTAGCCCAGGCCACTGCTGGAAGCCTGGCAGAAACTCCACAGCAAATCACAAGGTCCAGCAACAGAACTAGTCCTGCCTAGTAAATCTGGCTACTGAACTTCTAGAGGACCGCTTTGCTCGTTCCAACTGATCAGGGTCTGAAAAGGGAAGGGCCAGCAGCAGATTGAAAGTCGAGGGGGAACCAGGCCACAGAGGTGCAGCCGCCTGGGAAGAATGCTCAGCACGGCCCCGTTCATGTTGCTTTTACTTACTTACCATGCCGAAATTCCCCTTGCCCTTCCTGAGCGTGGCTCCTGGAATACAGCGCGTCATCTCTTCATGGTCAAGAGAAATTTGATTAGCTCCACCCCCAGAGACATCACATCCTACCCCATAAAGGAAGAGAAAGGGACAGGAACGCCTATCTGATTGCTACAGAGAGAGGGAAGAAAAATAATGGAGAAATCACCCAACTTTTGTAAGGGAAGGGCTTTAACAAAAACAAAAAAAAAGACAGAAAACGGGAGAGAGGGATGCGGTTACTGGGGCTGTACTTAGGAATGGAGGAAATGAAAACACTTTGGATGGGGCTAAAGAGTTCTGATCCTGAAATTGTATAAATATACAAGAAGTTGACTTGTTCAAAACAGAAACACCTCTGTCTTCTGATACAGAGCAGTGCAAACAAGCCAATAATACTGATTTTAGAGAGCAGTCTGGCAATCATAATTTTAGTTGTGTGCTCCAAATTTTCCTTTGAATTTGCCTGAAAACTCTCTGTGCACAGACATAGTTTGCACATTAACAGTAAGACAGGGTATGGTTTATTGCAATCTGGCTTGTTGTTGCGTCTGCATCTATCCTCAGAAACAAGCTAGAATTGGTTAACCAAGGACAAACCACAAACAGAAGGCATAGCTTACTGCTGGCTTATGAAGTCCGACTTGTTTAAATCATGACTTGCTGGGATAACTAAATACCATCACGGCTTAACTCCAGCTTATTTGCTCTGCTGCCTTCCCAGGAACAGCCTGAAAATTAAACTGTTCCAATGGCTGCCAAAAGGGTCAGGAGGGGAACAAACCCAAAATACGGGAAACAAGCCATGGCTTATGCACTTATCCACATGGCTTAAGTAACAAACCATGAGTTAGCCTTATGGGTGAATGCAGCCACTACCCAACGCATTAATAAATCTAGGAAATTACAGAGTGAGTTCAGACTTCAAACATGGGTTCTACGTGTCTCTCTGGCGGATCGCAGAGTAGTTACAGATACAGATGAATCTGCCCCTTCTCCATGCTAGTTATGAATTATTATTCCAACCTTTCTCTGTAGAGCTCAACATGGTACATGCAGCATGTTTGTCCTCCAACATTTTCTCTGCATGGCCACTTATGAGAGAGACTAGGCTGGGAGGCAACGGCCAGCGCAAGATCGCAGGGGTTTTAATCTAGGCCTTCTCGGTATTCATTCAGCATTCATGACCCACAAGATCACAATGGCCTTTGCTCATTATAAGCAACTGAGGTCTCTTCTCATGGCATGCGCTTATGTGCTCAGCCACAAACTTTTTACTCCAATACGTGAAGATTATGCACAGTCTGGTCATACCTGAAGGGGCCTTATAGGAAATGATAGGCTAGTAAAGGTGTGCTGAGGAATACTGGGGCAACAGATCTTAGGTTTCCCTGGCAGGCAAGGGGGACTAGTTCATGATGCTGAGAATCATGTTACATTTTCACTTCCTTTACTGAGCAGAAACATTAAGTACAGCTGGAGCTAGTCAAATTTTCTTCCCATCCACAAACTACCCCATAGATCAAGAAAAGGAGCAAGCCAGGAGACATCCACTTACTTTGTTTTTCAGAAGAAATTTGTTCCTGCAGATCAAAATCTCTCGCAGCCACTTGAGGATTTCTGTGCTGCTGAGAATCTGATTGCTTGTTAGCCTCTTGCATATACAAAACAACATTTGAGAACTGCGGGAGCAAGAAATTAAGAGAATTATCATCATTAGACACTTATTGAGGTACTTGCTTTAAATTCAGCAGTAAAATGTGCACGAAGCTGTTTATCAGAGTAGATCTCGCAAGAGATATAACCAGCAAAGCATGGAGAAATGTCTTCTCCTCCCAACAAACATTACTTTCTAGGGTGCTCAGTACCCCTCTTTGCAGGTCCACAGCATTTGCAACCAAAGTGAGAGTGTAACAATACCACATATTCAATCATCTGGGACCACATTCGCTTTATAGATAAAATTTATAAAGCTTTAATAAATGAATTAATGCATAAAATCAAGGGCAGAAGAAAGCTAGAATTGGTGACGCCATTTCATCCATCAATTGACCTCTCACTACTAAACTCACAATGCTCTCTGGGGGAGTTGCGTTCGTTTTTAAATGTTCATTTTTTTTATACAACGCTTAGTTATGAGGCAGAAGCCTGACAGCATGCACTTGCCTGATCTCCCAGAACGTTTCAATGGGTGAGTCTGGATTCCACAGGTCAATACTGTCCAGTTGATGCAGCACAAGTAAGGCCTGAACACAGATGTGGAGAAAACGCTTAATATACACTGAGAAAAGACCGCTGTATAGATCCATTCCTACATTTCCGTTACTGCATTTCTATACTGTGCTGGGAGCCACAGCTCTCTAAACCCTAAAAATCCAGTAGCAACGTAATATACAGCCAACAAAGAAAAAGATACAAATTTTAAACAACCAGCATTATATTTCAGGACCCATTTGAGGCCTCACTGAATGCTTTCAAATGCCTGGGAGTGGAGTAACGTCTTAACCCAGCATCCTAGGTCCTTGCTGAGGAGAGGAATTCATAAATAAATAAATAATCAATCATTTTGGGTTTTTTTTGGCGCCAGGCTAAGACCTTTTTATTTAAACAATATTTTAACAACTTTTAATATCATCTATAGGTTTTAATCTGCAGCCAGATTGAATCTGGATTTTATTTGTACTATGTTTGTTTATTTTATGTAAGCCGTCCCGAGGCAATGTGATGGGATGGCATACAGAAATTCTAAACAAACAAACCAACCTGGGGGACACCACCAAAAGACACCCCCCCCCGTAACCATTCTGCAAGCCAAGTGGCGATGGAGAGCCAAGCTACATCCAGTGTGTGAACAGTGCCTTGCTGTGACACGGCTACCGTGACCATTGCTGCAATTCAGCTGGAGATGCTCAGAATCACGTGACATAGCACCTGACGGGGACAGCAGAGGATAAGTCCATAAGGACACGGCACCACACTGCAACGGGGAATAAAGAACTCAGAAGTGCCCAAATTAAAGAGACCCAGGCGAGGTTTTCCAAATTCTGCTTTTGCCAGTCCCAGCACAGCCCAGGGCTAGAGCCCCGTGTTAGTTTCTACTAGTCCACACATCTGGCCGTAAAATTACATTTGGAGAGAAGATCCAGGTCCTGCTTCCTAACACGGCGTTCTTCCTGCAAAAATGTGGTAACCGTGCCACACTCTAAAGACTTGCCTGCGACGTTGAGCAGGGGGAGGTTTGGGGAACACGTTCAAATCCGTGCCCCCCTCCTCTCTCGCTGGGGAAGGCGATCTTGGGGACTCCAGCTCTCCTCAGCCACAGCCAGCACGGTCAATAGTCAGGGGTGACGGGAGTTCCCACCCCACTTCCTTGGGCGAGTGGCAGGCTGTCCATCTCGGCCCCAAACCGTGGCCTTCTGCGTCCCGTTGAGGTTGTGAGCACGGACGGAAGCGAGCCGGTGCTAGTCCCTTACCTCCATGGCCTCCTGCGCTATTTCAGGCATGCTGGACTGTGGCACCAGCTGGACCAGCCCCGTGATGAGCTCCGCAGTGCTGCCCTGAGTCTCCGGCCCCTGTTTCCTCGGGTTCTGCATGGGAAGGTAGAGCCAGATCAGCTCGCATTTACCGGTGTGCATGCAGGGATACCCACATTCCAAAGGACACACATCCCAAAGAGCCACTATTATCTTTACCACTGTTATTAACGAGCATGTCTCATGCGAAACCCGTTTTGGTATCTGTCGCGTTATATACTGCAATATAAATCTGACCTATTGCAAACAGGATTTTAATGTGACACTCCCTGCCACTTGAGCTGGAGTGGAACCTTGCGGCTTGATAAGGAGGGAGCCTGAATTTAGGGGTTCAGAGCTGAGGCTCACAGGGTCTGCAGAGACAGCTGCAAGCTGCCCCAGGGACACATTTATGACCCATTATACACTTCCTGAACTACAAAGGAAATGGAGGATCAACATGAAACACCAGCTTGGGAGTCACAGGATGCATTGCTCTGCAAGAAGTAACAGTTTCTCCAACTCTCCAAGTGAAACCCATTAAAAAACAGCCCGGGTGGCTGGGGATCATGGGAGTTACAGCCTAGCAGATGGGGGCGGGGGCATTCGGTTGGGTTATAAGGGCACACCTAGAAGGATTTTTCTTGGGAAAGACTTTTTCGTTTCAAAGGGAGCTCTCTACCGTGTGGCATGGGGCTGTAAGGGACAAGGGTTTTTTTCTTTGAGAAAGGCAGGCCCACCCAGAACTAGTTGTACAGTGTAGATTCAAGCCTCAACTCCTAGAAACCAGAAGTTCAAGCATAAGGTACTTGAAAAGCAAACTGCTGCATATGCTAAACCCCACTCAAGACCACCTCTGGTCCCAACTGATCGCAAAAAACAGAACGTTCTCTGCTGAATGCGTAAGAAATGACAGGCTTCCCCAACTTCTAAGAGTAGCGGGATACTAAGGCTGTTTTTTAGCTTTTCCTTTTAAGTATTGTTTTGTTAACTGTCGGGAATATCATGGCCCTTTCCTTTCCGAATGCAGCACACCAGAGTCAGCATCAACAAAAGGACATTGTAAAACATGTTTTTACAGGTATTGTTTTCACCTGCATTCTGGGTTAATACCATGCTTTATTCTTTTAATATTTTGCTCTCTACCACTTTGGAATCTATGGCAATGTGGAGCAGTACATAAATACTGTAAGCAAAATAAAAGAACATAAAAAACAGAGTCATAGAGTTTCACTGTTACCCTTCCTGGTTTCACATGTGCACTTTCCAGGGACCTGTCAGAAAGCCAGTAAGCACTGTTGGTTGGAAAACTGTAATGCGATCAACCCAGACTGTGCTTATTCCTGTTTTTAAAGAAATTAATCCTACTTACACAAAGCAAGAGCTTGGGGTCAGCATGGATCAGTTTGACCATGGACAACAACAAGACCTTATAACTTCTGGTTTCAACATCTGTAGGCTTTTCTTTAAACTTAAGGCTTGTCATTTTTTCTTTAAAGGTAAGACTCTAAGGAGATGAAAAAAATACGATTGTCAGTGAAGCACTGCTTACTCCAAAAATGTAGCATGTATACAAAGAACCTCATACAGCAGTCTCCTCCAAGTCCCATTATTCTCAGTCAGCATGGAGTTACAGTCCAAACACTCCGGAGGGTATGAGGTTGGGAAAGAGTTAAGGAGGATGCAAACTTCCATACAAGCTGCATTACCCGTCTTCACCATGCAATCTCTTCTGCCCTCTCAGCTCAGGCTGCCTTTTTCATGGCGCTTCCCACGCTGATCCTCAGATCTATTACATGAGCAGCTACAGCCAGTTTAGAGCCCACCCCTGTTCTTACTCCAGGGAAGGGGATCATGAGGTGGGCCTTGATAACTCACTGAAGACACCCAATCTGTGGGCTGCAGCAGCAAAAAGAGCACACAGAGGGTTGGGAATGATTGCGAACGTGAAGGCACACCCACCAGTCTAAGGATGGGGCTGCACTGGAAATACTGGGTACAATACTTGCAGCTTCTCCGAAGAGGATATCGTAAGAGCGGGAAATGGCAGAATTTCCAGTAATGCGAGATGGATTCTTAGCCAATCTTGATACTGTAAAAGGTGAATCCATGCAAAGGCCCTTCCATTTCAGCATCCTAATAGCCATTAGTGACCAACAAGCAGGACAGGAGGCCAGAGCCCAAACTGGCTGGCCCACTCCAGCCACCGGTATTCCGTGGGAGCTCAGGGGATGAGCCAGCCTGTGGCTGGGCACTAGTGATTTTTGGGGAAGGAGGAACAAAGCTCTGCTGGCTGGGGATGGTGAAAGTCCTAGTCCAACGCCTCTGGATGGCACCAGGTTGCAGAAGGCTCTCCTAGCGCACTAGAAGGGTCACTAGGGAAGGGTTCGGACTGCAGCTCCAACGGCTGCAGTCTTTCTACCACTTTCAAGGGTAGGAGATCACCAAGAACGAAAAGCGCACTCTTTTCCTTTTCAGTCGAGCAACTGGAGGGAAGAAAGAGGGGCAGGGGCTTACCGGCGTCATGCGAATCGGAGTGTGGACGCCGGAACCCTGCAGGGCTTTGTGGAGGGTCTCACTGAACATGGTGCGGAGTTCCATGGAATGACAGTACACTGCATCGATCTTGGGCCACCAGTCCAGTGCAGACTGCGGGAAGGAATCAGAGGACATGCCCCAGGGGTCACAAAATGATTTGGTGCAGCACTTCATCCAGAAATTTCTCTCTCAGAGGACCCCTGAAGACGCTCCCTGCCCTCCCAAAGCCTGTCAGCTCCCAGGGTCTGCCTGAACAGCTGGAGGAGGCGGCCTTGAGATGACCTCCCACTCCTCATCCAGCTCTATGTCCATGGACCTCGTTTCCCAGCCTTCACAGTCCTCATGCGAAGAGCTGGTGGTGCCCTGGAAAGTGCGCCAAGAATGACGGCCTCTTTCATTCCCAGCAGGTAAGGCTGGAGGTAGCATAAAGCCATCAGACTAGCAGCCCTTGAACACATCCTCCTCCTCCTCCTCCTCCTCCAGGAAGCTGTCCAGACCCCTTTTAGAACCATCCACACTTCTGGCCATCACTACCACGTGTGGAAGTAAATTCCATCCTCTAACTCCGTGCTGCTTGAAGAAGTCCCTCCTTTGCTCTGCCCTGAATCCTCGCCGCTCAGCTTCATGGCATGAGCTGCTGGGCTCTAGCCCTCTGAGAAAGGGAGAGAAATATCTCCCCCTAGCCACTTTCTGCACACAGCTACCATGCCCCCGCCCCGACTTGCCGTTTCTCTAAGCCGATCGATTCCACATGCTGCAGCCTTTCCTTGTAGGGGAGATCTGCCAGCCATACAGTTGATGGAACAGCAACGCATTAACTAACCATCCCTACAAAGGGCCCAAATAGGCGCGAGCAGCCCATATTCAGATGGCTGAACCGCGGTGCTGATCTGCGGGATGCTTGCACGGAAGATCGGGGCGAACGCCCACAAGCTCCTCCTCACGCTGCTCTACTCCCTTCCCGATTCTGCAGTTCAAGCCAGCCCCTGCAAGGCTGTGAAATGAACTATCTGGTCTTTTCAAGCACCTTAAAAACTTACATTTGTGATTATACGGTGGAGTGAATTTACCAGCACATAATGAAATGTTGATGGAGAGTTCTGTGCCAGGCAAGTCTAGAAAAAAGGAGATTTTTTTTTTTTTTAAGAAGGCGTCTGCCTGTTACAAACTTGGAAATCAAATGCTACAAATTCTTCAGGGCTTTGTCCAGCACAAGCGCAAGCAAAATGAGCAAGGTTTGTACAAGGGAACTTCTGAATAAATGAAGCAAATGGATGCCTCTGTGGAACACATTCCTTTAGAAAGGGCTGCACAAGAACCAGGTGGACCAGTCCCAAAGCAACAAAAGAATCCAAGCGCTTGTTCAGTTAATACCCAACATAACTGTCACTAAAAGCCACTGGGAGAGGCACCTTCACAGCTATCTAAAAACAGACGTCTAGAAACACTCAAAACTGTGATTGCTGAGAAAGATCGGTCTATTATTCATGAACCCCTGGCCACTATGGGCCTATCCTGCGTATCCGACGGTTCAAAAATAGCTTCAGGACAGAGAGCTTACAGAGCCGCACCTCACCTTAAAGTGCTGGTTATTGTGTGGGCTGATCCGGAAGCAGGACACTAAGCAATCGATCATAAGGTCTATGTCTGCGCTCTGGTTGCTCCGCGAGAAAGGCTTGCTCGGGTTGAAGAGCAGGTTCTACGAAACAGCAGGCGCAAGTTGCATTATTTTAGTCAGTATACAAAAATACGTATTTTCTAAAGTCAGGGAAGCTATTTGTGAAAACACACAATTCTAGGTTTGGATGTAGAAACAATCCATGGCTTAAACTACCCACAGTTGATAATTCAATGACAAATCAAGAATTGTTCATGGTTAACAGCTCACAGTTATGCCATAACTCCAGTTTGCAGTTAATGATAATCCGCAATTCAACAAACCATTGCTAACTAAATCAATGATAACCAACATGTGAGCCAGACAATTAAGTGTTTACAGTTCAAAATCAGCAGCACACACAGAAAACAATTCTTGGTTTTCTTTCCTTTCTTTTTACCTTGAGATCTACCACCATAGACTGTACGAGAAGGAAAATGACAGAATTGTCTTCCCAGCTGATGTAGGTTGATGCTTTGCACAACTTAACACAAGCGATGGCTGCACTTTCCGTCAGTTGCCTGCTTCCACTGTGGCCTGCAAGCGCCTTCCGGAGGTTGTCCAGAAAGAGTTTCTGCAGGATTCCAAAGGCACAAATCAGAAACGTAAATGTTTTAACTCCATCCTGGGGAACCTGGATTTAGATTCCAAATGAGACACAAATCCATCTGCAGGACATCACTGCCAGCTTTGCCATGCAGTGCGCTTTTCAATACTGAAGTCATCACAGACTTTCAGCGACATCTTTGCATTGTTATACCCCAGTAGGTTTTCTGAACCAAAACCTGATGTAAGACCTGCATCTCACCGAAGATAAGCTTATGATTAGACTGTATCACTTCTGATTTCCAGGAAGGTGGAAACTTCACACTGTACATGTAAAGTTATCGTGTCCTTGAGAAGCCTCTAGAATTAGGCTGCTCCCTAACATGGGGCCAGGGAGAGGCAGGAGCTGCGATTTATATGCCAGCCCCTCTTGCTGGTGGCTAAGGAGGTGGACCCAGCTGCAGGAGCACACGAGCAAGACATGCGCGGAGGAGCAGCACCTGCCGCAGCCTTCCCAGGTAAACAGAGAGACTTCGTGGTGCAGGGGGCATCCCAGCCACGCTGCACCATACCTGAGGACACAATTCCCACTGGTGCCTGATTCACCTCATGTGCAAAACTGCCTTCCCTCAGTAGCAAGATCTCACCAGGTCTGAGGTCTTCAGAAGCAAACAAGGGCAACCAGCCTGTTAATATTATTATTCACTCCATGTCTGATCTTCCAGCTATGAGGACTACAAGCCCATGAACCCAGCACCAGCCACACACAGAAATGAGTAACTACAAGGCTAGGGGGAAGTCCGAATTATACTGGGGTACAAGAACAGCGATTCTGCCAAGTGGGCACTACAGACAAGGAAGCAGAGCCCTCCCCCCAGCTCCTGCTAAAGGATGACTTTTCTTTCCCCCCCCTGCCCTCCCCATCCCTTTCCCCCATCCCTTGGAGGTCAAGTCATTTTAGACTGTAAGCCTGTGTTGCTTTACTGGATGTACGGAAAGCATTGTGGAGGAATTTTTTGGTTGAGAAGTGGAGCAAATATATTTACATAAAGAGGACTTTTTAAAAATCTCTAAGGGAGATGAAATGCAGAACTGGTCATACAGGAGCCACTGTGGCCTAGTGGTTAGCATTAGACTCAGGGGATCCAACTTCTAGTCTCTGCTCAGCCATGAAGTTTAGTGGGAGACTCTGGGCCACTCACTGACTCTCAGTCTAACCTAGCACACAGAAGGTTGTTGAGAGGATAAAATGGAACGCAAGGTTATGGAAGCCAGCTGGGGTTCCTTGCAGGAAAAAAAAGATGGAGCATACATAAATGAATGATAATAAATGATAAGCAGGCAACCAAGCGTCTGTTGTGGGTAAACATTTCAAAACTGTGGATGCTGGAGAAAGAAGTGCTTTGCTGAGACCAGAGCGATCTGAAGCACACGGGGGAAATATTCCCAATACGATCCGAAGGACACGGGGGAAATATTCCCAATACAGCAAGTGCAGACAGAATCACAGCACTTTCGAGCACTTCTGGGAAGGACACGCTGGAAGCTCCCTGCCTATTTATGTAAGCCGTCCTGAGGCTCTGTGAAAGGATGGCATATAAATATTCTAAATAAATAAATAAAATACAAGCGCTTTTTAGTTAGGAAAGCGACATGTTTGGGGGTTAGGGCTTCCAGCCCAGGCTTCTCACCAACACGCAAGTTCATAGAAGACGTTTCCAGCTTTCCTCACCTTGTTTATTTTGTTTTCTTCCACCACATCCTTGGCAATGTCTTGGATGATTTCCGGACAAAGGACAAGGAGGATTATCTGCAAGGGCCAAACAGCCGCTTTGCGCTTAGTGCTTTCAGCGAAGCCATCCACCAAATCAAACAGCTTCTCTGCACAATCTGTGAGAAGACGACCAGAAAGGAAACAACGCACCGTGAGCTCCAAGGGCAGCTTTTGCACAAAAGGCCATAAGCCTTCCCATATTTAATTGCACTGCAACGATGCTACGCTTGAAAGCAAAAATGTGCTTAAGTTATTACAGCCTTCACAGAACCACCCAGATGTTACTTTCCTCTTTTGAAAACACCTTTGCAGGAAAGCGCAGGGAATGGTCTTAAGAAACGCATACTCACCCCCAAAAGAAAACTTCTTATGAGAAAGATGACCAGTTCATGACCCACTCAGAAGAGGGCATTTTGCCCACTTTTCACAAGGAAAAGAAAAAATAGAAACATCCTAAACCAAAAGAGCCGTTCTGGTGGTAATCAGCCTTTAAAATGCAATGCCAGTAAATAAATCCAAGCAGTCCTTAACTCAAAGAAATCCTTTCATAGAGTAATGGTCGTAGGATGTTTAATTGCTAGCATTCCTTACTCTGTTCAAGGAAGAAATGACTATTCATAAGTCTTCCTGGCCTGAGCACAGATGGGTCCCAGAGAAATTTCTTCTGGGTTCAAAAGAACCCTCGTCTTTTATGCACACTACTCAGAAAGGTGCCCGTGCACGGTTCATGGTTCCCCATCTAGCCCTCCTTCTCAAATTGGGTTGCTGGCCAGGACGAACAAAACTCCCAAGATGAGCGGGGGAATCACTCTGGCCTCAACATGCATCGGGAGTACAATGGCACCAACATTCAGAACAGGCTCAAAAAGACATTATTTGTTTTCTGTTGGTTGGCTGGTTGGTTGACTGGCTAGTTTAAATCACAGGTGGCTTTCTGAGCAAGCTCCGGAATGCTCTGCATCGTACGAAGCAGCTGCAGTTGACGCCAGCGGTAGCTGACCACTCAGCTCTACTTGCTTCCCTTTGCTGCAAAGTCTGCTTGGCCTGAGGCATGCTCCACCTTACTTTTCAAATGTGGCCCTGAAATATTTCATTTTAATTAGGTTTCTGTGCAGAAGCATGCCAATATCTGGGTAGCAGATTAACTTGTATCCATTAAAGTGCAAGCACTAAATCCAAGCTGTCCAACTTGAATTCCTTTGTATAAGTGGCCGGCTAGACATTCCGTCCAGCAAGTGCTTTAGTTCTTCCCGGACTGGACCATTTCAAAGTCGTTCAAAGGCTCTCCTCTTGACGTGCCTCATGCATGTACAACAAACCATACATCAAGAAAGTCAGACTAAACACTTTCCCTTGCCTGGCTAGTTTATATTTACGCTTCCAAGAAGCTGAAGACAGAAGGAATATTTTGCATCAAGATTTTAATTTTCTCTTTTGAATATGAATGAAATTGAGAACCAATAGCCCAATCTGGGATACACAGCCCTCCACATGCCGCAACCATAGCACAGCTTTGGAGCTACGGGACAAAATGCTTGCTTTTCTTCTAAGCACGGACAAAGCTCAGCGGAAGTGGATGATCTCCAAATAAGCAGCAGATGAAGAAAACGAATATCGGGGGGGATGACCCAGTCAGAGCTCTGTGATGCACAATCATTTGTTTAACAAGGTCTTACCTGACAGATCCGTCTGCGGGGTCTGATACAGCTTAGTAAACTCATCCGGATAGTTTTCCACCCAGTTCCAAAATGCCTGCACAACAGTACAAGGTAGGTCATGAGGCACAGTTACTCAGAGAAGTTATTTCATACAAGAAAATGAGAGGTACTGCCTCGCCCTTCACATGTTCCTTGCAGCACTCTTGGAGCTGTTTCACACACTGTGAGAGCAACAGTAATAAACAACGTTTCTCCAACACTTAGGTAGTGCAGAATTGGGCTGGTGTATATGCTCATAATAGCAATTAAGTTCATCTCCCTGCTTCCTAAATGTACTCACCACGTCGCAAGTTAAGGAATCCCAAAACAAAATCAGGATCTAGGATCACCTCCTGGTCATGAATTATCTTTAAGCAAACTTGTCAAGTTTCTCCTATGCTTGGTTGCCCTTTTCACTGAAAACTCAGAGTCTACAGATCTCAAAAGCTGTGCACGGCCCATAAGCAACCTCCAAAACTATGCTTCGGCCAACCCTAAGCTCCTTGCATTTGAGAGCAGCAGCTGGGATGCCATTCCTGATAGAAAGATTCTCTCCAAAACACTTTGGGCCAGGATCCATTTATTTTCTAGCACTGGGAGGTCCCCCCCTTTTTTTTTTGCTCCAGGTATAAGTACTTCTATACCAATAATCTGATCACAGCTTCAGACTGGGAACAGTTCTCCCATACCTTCCAGTGCAACGTTTTGTTTTGTTTTTTAAGGTGTGCTCCAATTCACGTCAGTCCTGGTACTTGTGGAGACTAAAGAGAATGAGGAGACGTCATGGTCTTGAGCACTTTTCTAACTCCTGGGCTCAGAAATCAGGTGCCTTTGCCAAATTACTTGGAAAGAGAGTCTGAGAAACTAGTACATGGAAGAAACTTGCCTTTTCAAGACTGTTGATAACAGCCAGTTGTGCAACTTTCTTGAGGGCTTTGAATTTAAAGGCTGTCTCTGTGAAAAGAATAAATCATTACTATCGTCAGCATCGTCAGCGTCAAGTCCTGCCTGTTGCCAGTGACTGGGACTCAACGCAGCTCACAGCATAAACAACTTTTGCCATTAAGATGGCACTGATTCGAAGAGTAGGGTGATAGCAACCCAAGGAAACTGGCTCAGCATGCCCCGAGTTGGCATTCCTTGACCATGAAGTAGTAATTATTGAGGCATGACCAATAGTTTATATCTTCAAGCAATAATCCCGATTACCACCACAACAGAGCATTTTACAGTCCTTGTGTTCTTCCTTCTGAACGGACCTTCACATTCTACCAAGTCCCAGTCACATTTGGTTGGCCATGAGAAAGGGCCTTCTCCATGGACAGATCCAGACCACACTCTTATCCCTTCCTGCACAAAATCATATCCCATCACTGTGAAAAGATTTTCCATTGGCTGCCAAGCATTTGGCCTTAAGCATTTGAGTCCCTGTGCATTTTACTCTGAATATGTACTCAATGCTCTTTTATCATCTGAGTCAGCCAGGATCGTTTGCATACACCTGAGGGATTCTGGGAAGTGAGAGAAGGTCACTGTGAGTGGCTTAGAAGTCAGACTTCAACTAATCGGGTCAAGGCAGTGGCCTGCACACCAGACAGTGTACAAATGGTCCAATCTTCTCCCCAAAGCAGGTCTATGATCCCCCAGAAGAAATGAAATATGAGCTTGAAGATTCAGGACTGAAGCTTGAGATTAATAAACACATAGTCAAAGAACACCTGATTTCTTTGCATGTGTTCAAATCTCCAGGGCCTGATGAACTGCACTGCAGAGTCATAAAGCACCTGCCACAAAAAGTCTCAGAACCACTGCCTATTACCTTTGAGACACCATGGAGGGCAAGAGAAGTGCCAGATAGATGGGGGATGATATTGTCCCCATCTTCAAAAAGGGCGAGGAGGAGGACTTGGGAACTGACATCAATCCCTGCATAAATTCTGGAGCAGATAATTAAAAAGTCAGTTTGTAAGCACTTTGAAGAGAGCGGAGTAATTCGTAGAAGCCAGCATGGATTTATCAAGAAATCCTAGCAAATTAATCTGATCCCCTTTTTTTATCAGATATCCCCCTTTGTGGACTATGGGAATGTTGCAGATGTGATCCATCTTGATTTCAGCCAAGCCTTTGACAAAGTGCCTCATGATCTCCTGATTTAATCTGGTGTCCTGCACTGAACAGGGGCTGGACCCAGTAGCTTCCTGGCCCCTTCCAACGCCACTATTCTGTGATTCCATCCTTTCTACTTGCGACCAACAGTGTTTTATTGTTATTGTAACGTGTTGCAAGGCACTTTGAGCTTCAAGTTCAAGGAGACAGCAAGGCCACTGCCTGGCCCCTAAGTAGCAAAGACCGCATGCCGAATGCACCTTTCTAATAGGCATCTCTTCATGGGGGCACCAACACTGAAAAGCCTAGTCGCTACCAAGCAGGTCTGTGAGCAGAGGGGCATGCAAAGAAGGGCCCCTATGTGGACCTCTAGGAATGTGTAGGAGCATGTGTGTTCAGGCAGTATAAACTCTCTGCCCCAGCACACCTGGGTCCCATGGGACTGAGACTCTGCCGCCTTGCGCTCGCTTCCTGCTGTCCCTCCCTTGCTTGGGTCTTAATGAGACAGCAAATGTGAAGCACTCTGAGCCATTAGGAAATAGGTTATTAGGGGGAAAGCGGTCGAAAAACAGTTGTTGTTTATGTATTAATTATTAGAAGATCATTTATTTGCACAGATAATGTTTCAGTAAACAGTGTTGCAGCAATGAGAAGATGAAAGAAGAAAAGCACCTTGTTTTCAGACATTCACGCTTGGAAATAAGGCTCGGAGTCAACAGGGGACCCTTCCAGGTAACTGCCATCGTAATCCCAGTTCTACACAGGGACAGCGAAGGGTAATGCCGCTTACCTTGCAGTATTCGCTTCAGTTTAGCACAGTCCACGCTGATATACTGCAAGAGTTCGATGTCATGAACATCAGCATTGTCTTCAGAGCAAACCGTCAGTTCCTGCAATCTGGGGAAGTAAAATGCCAGCTGCTCAGAACTGATCGTAATATTTGCACCCTCCACATAAAGCAGAGGTGGGGAGAGAGATCAAGAGATGAGCCGCTGAGGAACATAAGGCAGTGTGGAGCTGTTCATTTTATTCTGTGGCAGTATTGGTAGGACACCCTAGAAGACAGTCCTCAGGCTGGCACACAAGAAAGATGTTTACTCCTTGGGAAGAACAATCACGGCTTAACATATGCAGAAGCCCCTACAAACCAAAACCGCAGCTTTCAAGAGCTGGCCCTCTGGATGTAGCCCCCACTTATGTGTGGGGCACATTCCCAGTCCTCCGTCATGCAAAAAAGGATGACCAAAGCACCTGACGCCTGAACCAGATCTCTCTTTTTGGTGGGTGGGAGGGAATCCACAACAGCACACCACTGTGCGTGGGGTAGTCAAGTGTTATTCACAGGTATGCAGTTGCCCCCAGTATTTTTGCCTACATCTACTGCACCTACATGTACTGAAACTCAGATGCTTTGGCCACCTAATGAAAAGGAAGGACTCCCTGGAGAAGAGCCTGATGCTGGGAAGGATTGAAGGCAAAAGCAGAAGGGGAAGGCAGAGGATGCGGTGGCTGGATGGGGTCACTGAGACGGTGGGTGTGGGCTTGGGTGGACTCTGGGGGAAGGCGGAGGACAGGAACGCCTGGAGGAGTGTTGTCCATGAGGTCGCGATGGATCGGACGCAACTTTGCAACTAACAACAACAACAATCCAGTTGTATTATGTAAAGTTTATAAAGAAGTGCAACATCTGGGCCGTTCACAACAGCTAGAACATGTCTTATGAAATGATCTTCTCAGCTGTTTAATACTAATTTAATACCTGTAGCAGCAGACAAAGCTATGGTCCGAAAGAAACAGAATCGGAATTATTGGTACATCCCAGAACAGAAGGCCTGGAGGAATGTTGTCCATGGGGTCGCGATGGGTCGGACACGACTTCGCGACTAACAACAACGACGACAACACTGCCCCTGACAACAAAACCAAGCTGAGAAACTGCTTTGGCTAGTCCCAAACCTACAGGTGTGCAACTGACATCACCACTAACACCAAATACCGAGGGAGCTTGTCATTTCATCCGGCCAGAGGAAGATTCAGCATTTCTGGCTGGACAAAGCAAAACGCCACAACCATCTCCTCAAGAAGCATGTGTTACTGAACCGGCACTGCTGAAAGGAACGGCTGACTATTGCAAGGCGGGGCAAAGCCGCCGCTCACTGGCCCATCAGCAAGTTGGACGACCGAAGCCGGTGGCCGGGCCACCAGCTCTGCTCCCTTTGCCTTCTTCCATGCCAACCAGCACGGAGTTCCACACCTCTTGCAGCAGCACTGGAGAAGCTGCTCCTCCTGCAAGGGCTATCCAAGTCTGCCTCCTCCTCCTCTTGCCACCCCTGCCTGGGGTTCGCAGAGAGGGTTCGCTGTTTGTGAGCCAATCACAGTAAGGAGGTCTCCCGGGGGAGGGCTTGGTGGGACGTAAGGAGACTCTGATCCACGGGGGCACCACCGCCCTTGGAGGGGCAACTAATGGAACACGGCTTAGCTTCTGTTCAAGCAACATTGAAAACCAAGAGCATAGTTTGAAAGCAAGCTTTTTCTTAGGATTCCTGTTACCCAACAACACTCCCCACCCCCGCCAGCCAAGTCTGGACCACTGAGGTCAGAAAGTAAGGAGCCTAATGACTCTGAGAATTTGGTTCCATTTATTATTGAGTTCTCTCTGGCTCTCCTTCATAAAGGAAATGTATTCTGTACGCCACTATTCTCCAGCAAGCCATTTAGCAAATAGACAACAAAAACCCACATCCTCTGAACCCGGCTGCCAAGAATAACTCCTTGGAACAGAGGTTATTACAAGGCCTTTGAAGTTCACTTGAGGTACCCTTTAATCATAGAACTTTCTACCTGCTGCCTGGAGACAGAAGCGCTTCCTATCTGACGTGATCATCTTGATCCCATGAAGGTTATGAGAGCAGTAACTGCAGCCCAGGGAACAGCAAAGCCCTGGACTAGATGGAAGAGTGGGTACTGAACACAGCCAGCCAGGTAAGAGGCGTGAGGCCGGCTTCCCATCTTCCCAACCTCATTAGTGCTGTTCTCTTCAATGGCTTTCCCTCTCCACACCTTTGCATTAAGCTTCTTGCATTGACGTATTTGCAATGCTCTCCATGTTTTTGTGCCTGCGGATCTTCTCTAAGTGCTCCTCTTCGGACCCTTCGCTCTCCCAGAGGGGTGAAGAACATGCAGCCTTCCAGATGGCGTTGGACTCCCATCAGCCCCAGCCAGCACAGCTACTGGTGAAGGAGGATGGGAGCTGTAGGGGCACAACTCCCGCTGCCTGTTCTATAAGCACCAATCCTTCTAAAGAAAGCCTAGGCTGTCTTCTCATTCCCGTGTGTGTTGTGTCCCCCCATCCCTGCTGGACGCCCAGCTCTCTTTCCCCAGATCCCTGGGGAGCAACCCAGAGAACAAGCAAGCGGAGTGGGGACATCCAGTCCTGCCGTGCCTGGAAAGCCCCATTATGCCTGGGCGGAAACTGGGACCTCATACAAACCAACACGCACTACCAGTGTCCTAAGGAAACTCTCCTACGAGCAAGAGCCCTACTTATTTCACGTCACTGCACTGCCCAGCTCTTTCCGTACACTTAAGAGTTGTTTTTAACCTAAGCCTGTATTCAGAGATTACCGAAGAGAAGGAATTAGTACAGATACCAAGTGGAGACTGGACACGCATGAACTGAAGTCTTTTAACAGCCTCAGCTCAAGCAGTCGCACTCCTGTTTCCCACTCCTTGCTCTGTGTTGACATTTACCTTTCCGTCCAGGTCGTGCCAGACGAACAGAGACTGGCAGGACTCGGAGCAGTGGGCCAAGCACCTTGCCTTGCACTCACCTGGTGGAAATACGGCTGAAGACCGCATTGAAGTTGTTGCAGCTGAGAGAGAAGAGCACCCCGGAGGCGGAGCTGCGGAGCTCCGCAGCATGCTGATTCCCCTCGCGGTACGTGTGGATAAAATGGCAGATCTCCGGCAGCAGCTGCTTGACCAGCATTGTCTCATCAAGCCTCATGGTGTCTTTCGGTTGCTAAGAAGAGACAAGCCACATGTCATTGCCCTGCAGCACTTCCATGGCTATGTTACCACCCCTGGGAAGGCCTCGCTCCCACAAGATGTCAGAAGCGCTTTCCTGAAACGAGGCCGGTGTGTTTGAGCTACTGGGATCCATCTGAGTCTGGGGGAAAGCACTGCCCATTGGCAAGACGCTTCAGTCGCGATGGTGCGCAAAGGGAGCTTCGGCTGGCCCTTCGCTACCTTGACTGCAGCTGGGGAGGAGGACACAGGGCTGCTTCTATCCGCTGCCCAGACAGCAACCCCGTGTTGCCTTCAACACGCAACCCAGAAGGGGACCTCCATCACCAGGGCGGCTGATCTGGGGCCCAACCCCGTTATTACAGCTAGTTAGATTCTTATGGCACTCCCAGGTTTTCACAATGCTGCTTTTTAGCAGAAGGTAAAAGCATCCCATCATCTCTAGTTATAGTTGGGACTTTGCATAGCTTTCTTGTCATATTATTTCTGTCTGTAAACCTCTTTGGGAATTCTAGTTTAAAAGCAGAATAACAATGTTACTGGATTCAATTCAACAATTCTGTGCATGTTTAGACAAAAAGATATTCCTACAACTTTCAAAATTGGGAGTTGTAGGCCTTTTTTGTCCAAGAATACACAGGATTACGCCCAAATTATATGAAGTCCCATAGCCTGCACTGCTACTACAATCCAACCAGCCAAGTTGGGCCGAAGCACCAGCCCAAGAGAACCGCATGGTCCAGGGACTGGAAGCTGAGTGCTGGATCCTATTGCTGTACTGTTCAGAGAAGGATATGATCAGTCTGTGAGGCCCACAACTGCATTTATAAATTGTCTTTAATGTGTTTACACAGGTGTCAAATGGCAAGCCATGAACTCTTCTGTCTGCCGTGACTTGGACAGCCATCTTTCAAAACCAGCATGGGGAATCACAAGCAGCTTACAGATGACCTCATTACACCAAGCTTGGAACCATGTTCAAGAAACCCTCAGGAATAAACATTCAGTCTTAGATTTCACCAAAGTCCAAGCTTGGCTTTGCAGCTACACAGCTTTGCAGAAGGAGCTGAACCACCAAGTGTATTCCCAAGGTGATACAGGGGGAAGAAGCAGACAGCCTTTGAGAACAGAGTTAAGTGAAAATAGGAATGTTTTTCTGGAAATTTCAGGATGACATTCCCACTGGAAGTTTAGACAAAGTTAACCAGTATAAAATAGGAAGCACCTGCAAAAGTAATCTTTCACTCCAGGAGAAAAAGCTTTATTATCTTTGTACAGCACTGAGCCAAATTCAAATAAAACCACCAAGTCAAAGAAGATCTCCAGTTAGCTTAAAATATTAAGACTTTAAAAGTTAAGCTGCAAATTCAAAATGTCTTTCTTCAAGCAAGGAAAGAAGTTCTTTCTTTTTTTACTTGCGAACATGTAAGGCTATTTCGGATCTCAAGATGGAGTATTTTCATTAGATCTAAACATACCAACATTTGTACATTTTCTTTCCCTGAAATATCAGCATTTAAAACGCACACAAAGAATCAATCGCAAAGATTGTGCAGTCACTTTGTCAACAGTGGCTAAAAGAAATGAGGGATCCGCTACAGAGCTTGACTCTCCTATGTGCAAATTACTGCTTCGCAATCCATTTTTCCAAGTTCCTGGTCCAGTTTTCCATTTGCATACTAGCTGCCTAAAACTATCAACAACGAATTTGCACATAATTAAAAATCTTCACTGCCTGCAGGCCAATTCTTTGTCAGAAGGCCAGGAAGTCTTACAAGTCCTTTTACATCGGCACCACGAAACATACTGAACACAGTTTCTGCTTTGCAATTTTCTGCTTTGAATTTGCACCTCTCAGGAATGCAGGTCTTTTACCAAGGCAGAACTGGAAGTCGCTCTTCAGACAGAGGTTTTTCCAGCTCTGTACCTGGAGAGTCCAGGATTAAACCCAGGACTTTGTCCATGCAAACCATGCACTTTGATACTGAGCTAAGATCTCTCATTTCAGTTAGCCTGAGGAGCAGGGTGTCCAAACACAATTAGCTCAGGAAATGTTTCATGAAGGAGACAACTCACCCCAGCAAGACATTTTTCCAGTGTATCCAAAATAATCAGTTGAGAAAGATACAGGTTCTTTTCAGCAGCTTCTCCAAATATCCTCTAGAGGAAAACAAGAGGCCAATTTAGTTAGTATTAAGGAAATAGATTGGCTGGCCGTCATCACCACATGACGACATGTCTGGATCCCGGGAAAGGGGCTAAGGTTTTCACTTCGCTTCTTGGGAACTCTGTTTGTGGAAAGCCCAAGAAACAAAGGGAATGTGAGTCATCGATGGATCCCTGGTCTTTTTGATGACACCTAGACTTGTTCCTTTAGTAGACCATAAAACGGTTGCTCTCCCCATCTAGTCCCCCTGCCAAGCCAATGCTAAAGTACTTGAGAAAGTCATGGATACTTTGAAGTGTACAGAACAAAGACAACATCTAGATTCTCTTGAGGGCTAAGCCTGTAATTTTGATTACTACAGTTAAAGAAACTCTTAATTCTCAGGAAAGAAGTCAAATAGGGATACTGCCAGCTTTCTAGAGCCTGGGGTGGACCAGAGTGCACCTAAATGTTTCCTGCAAGAACATGTCTTTTCCCAAAAGCAGTTTAAAATAACATTTTGAAGCCTCAGGGCTGAACAAAGAATTGGGGATGGGGGAAGAAATAAGATAACAAGCGAATGTTTACTTCCTAGGGGGCTCCTCTTAGCATAATGCTAAACAGCAGCTATCGTACTGATGAGGAAGGAAGACCAACTCCCGCTTGATTTAGCATTAAACATGAAAAATGCTGAAGGTCCTGTTAATTTTTGCCACTTCTATCTTTCTCCAAGTCCTTCAGTTCTTACCATGTCCTGCTTGGCCTTTCACACAGACAAGAGCCAACAATGCATTTTTCCACTGCTTGCAAATAGAACAGGATTGATCCGATTTTATCCCATGCTAAAAGAGCTGATTGTGAGAAACTTGAGCGCAACGTTTTCGAAAATGCCATCAATCACAGGAAACAAGCGTGCCATATTGTCAAAGAGACATGGGCATCCACTACTCTCTGGAGGCCGGACAGACCGAGACCCCACCCCCCATCCTAACCTTAATGCTCCTTAACTGCAACCTAATGAATATTCAGGCAGGAAGCCTAACGATCTCAGCTCAGCTCAGTTCTCAAACATTCATCAGATGACACCCCTTCCTCTCCCTCTGGCCTCACATCCAGGTAATCACGTAACCAAGAGAATACATAACTTACCATGTTGTTAACATTTTTTAAGATATTGGTGAGGCCGCTGATGACCAGGGAAAACTTGTACTTCGAAATGTTGATGAGGCATTCCTTGTTATGCTCTGTGCTGACTTTGGTGTGAGTATTTTGCTGGCTCGCTTTGATTGGAAGCTGCAGGAAAGAGAAGACTGGTAAGCATTCACTGATAAGAAAATTTGCCCTGTGGATACTTGCCATGTTAAAAACTTCCCTCTCCCTTACCTTCTCACACAGATCTCTTTGGCTGGGCCAGCACTCGGCAGAATTTCATATTTTTCCAGTGCATCCAAAATAAACCTTCGTTTCCCACCCGCCACCTCCATTTTATTGATGATTCTGGGTTACAAGCACTCTATTACAAAAACTTTCCAGTCAAGTTTATTCCCAGGTTAAGTACATGTTGGGCTGCTATCTAAATGTGCTTCACGGATTCCCCTTCCTCAATCTTCCAGCATTCCAATAACATAATTCAATGATTGTGGGGGATTATCAATCAATCAATCAATCTTCTATCCCTTCCCATAGCCCGATCTCTCTGGGTGGTTTACAGAGTCCATAAAGATAAAATACAATACAAAGATTTATTTATGGATATCCAACCTTTTAAAGCAGCTTACATCATGCCCCTCCTGAGGCGCTTATCCCCGCAACAACAATCCTGTGAGGTGGGTTGGGCTGAGAGTCTGTGCCCGGCCCAAAGTCACCCAGGGGCTGAGCAGAGGCCGGAACTCAGATCGCCGAAGTCTCAGTCTCATGGTCTTAACCACAATACCACCCCGGCTCTTACCAATATACAAATATCCTAAATAGCATAACATATACAGCCCATCAAGTTATCCTGGCTTTTTAAAATGTGCATTTCCTAGCAGCCACCTACATTTTTATTCACGGTGGGAAAAAGGTGACTTCTCTTTGCAAGCGGGACAAGACCCACCTTCTGCCCAGCCTTTGTTGTATGTGCACAGGGACAGTCCATGGCAAGTCCAGTCAACCCCAGCCTCTCCCCAACGCTAAGGCTGGACCAAAACATGGGGGCTGTATGGCCATTTGCCTTGGCCAGACCATACTGAAGAAAGAGAAGAAAGATCCCAGTAATCCCAGTCTTTAGCTTGGTTATCAAATGGCCCAGTTTTGCATCTAATACTGGCAATTCCTGGGTGGTTTCAACCAGGATTTGCAGTGACTGGTGGAACATACTGCCCCATTCCTGCAGTACTTTGTGCCATCGGAGCCCTGAATCTCTGGATTGTTTTTGTGTTAAAATTCCCAGTTAAGCTCAAAGAAACCCAGTATTCCCAGGATCAGTGATCACAAATAGGCCATCCCTGATTTGTTCAATGAAAATAGAAATGTTTGCTCTTCATCACAGTTCCTGGGTTAAAAACTGTAGGAAATGCCAGCAGTAAGTCCCAAACTAGGTCAGAGAGAGATTAACACCCAATGAAAATGTGACTTCTGAGAAAATGTATAGGATTGTGTCATATATGAGACGCAAATCTATTAAGGGCATTAGAAACGGTGCAAATTCAAAACTTTCCAGAAAACCCAAATCAGTGAACATGACCCAAGACCTAGAAAAGGCATCACTGTCAGACTAGACAATATGGGTCTGACTCAGATCAGGAGAGTTTCATATAGTCAACCTTTTCAGACCCAGGACCTGCTTTGAATCCCAATGTTCAAAATGGGATGCACTTTCCACCTTTCTCCGTCTCTCTGAGAACGGTCTGCAAGCGCACAACCCTGTTTTTATGGGAAGGCTAAAGTAGATTTGGCCCTGTTCGCTGCCTGGATGGGAAAACACCTGAGAAATGCATCTCATTTGCTCTGAGATACCACAGGAAGAGCGGGGAGGATATTCGAACGATATTCCATATTGTAAACGCATTGCATGGAGCAATTCATTTTCTCCCCCCATGACCCTGCAACTACCCTAAATGTCATCTGAGGGGAGAGAATCCACAAGAAAAATAAAGCGACAGGGTGAAACACTCTGAATTAAGGTACAACCTGTCAAAAGAACAACAACAGGCAGCATAGTTCACAGGACTGTAAAACAACTGTGAACTGTAAGAGAACATTTTTATTTATGGCCAGCATGCCAGGGCATATGGTGTCCTACAGGGAAGCCTGTGGGGGGGGGGCACAAAACTGGCTCCTGATTCATCTAAGGTGTCCCCTTTAGCTAAGGGACATTCCAATTTGACAGTGGGTTGGGTTGATTGCAGAAAAACCCGTGGGGCACTCAAGTGATGATCAGGTTCACCGGGGGGGGGGGGGCGGGCGGGTTGGGGTTGGCAGGGACATATACCTATGTCTAAGCATATGATCCTGACCGGTCAGAGCTCTGTACCCCCACAGGTTGGGTGGCTTGTCCTTTACCACCTCAAGCATCTCAAGGTTCAGGAACAGGTGGAAAACTGCAAAAGTGTCTGAAGGCAACGATACATGGAATAAACAATGCTTCCCTACCCCGCCATCTTGCTGCAACTGCTGTTTATTATTCAAGGCACTAACACCTAAACTTCACCCAGGCTTTCCTGAAGAGTTCCCTGGAACGAATAAAATGTACTCCACAAAAATGTCTAAAATGGGCAGAAAAAGCGTTGAACTAGCAGGATGAAGCTTAGCTGAAATGTAGGGGTTTTGGTGGCTCTGTTGCATTCACCAAAAAAGATGGAATCATTTTACAAAGGGATGTAATGAACAGAGTGCAGCATACAGTGATTGTGTATAACAGATTTAGAGAAATCATCCCAGCCACAAAATCCCAAGCAATTAAAGAGAAATGGCAATGCAGAAAGAGAGGGGAGGAGGTGGGGAGGGGGAACAGAATGCTGCTTGTTCCATAAATTATGATGGGCACGTCTCTAAGTGCCAGGCACCAATCAAAATTATGGTGACACAAAGGGCTGGCCACAGTTCGGCATAGAAAAAGCATTGTCTCCATAACAGGTTTCCCAACTAATAAGATATCCGAGAGGATTGGCCACAGAAGGGCAATTCATTTTAAGCATCAGTGAGAAAGACTCAGCACCAGGTTAAAGTACCGGTTGTTCTGAATGGGACACAGAAACTCTCTCCTAGGAGCCTTGCTTTCCCATCAACAGTTCATCCAGGGAAGCATCTTGCTTCCCAAAAGGAGGTAGCCAGGAAGACCATGAGCAAGGCAAGGAAGCAACAGCCTGCCCCTCCCCGTCAGTGCGATCCCTGGATGCTCTCTGACAAAACAGACGCAGTATGGATGCAAACCTAAAGGCCGGTAGCCAATCAAATGGAATTATTTGACGTATGGACTATGCACTACCTGGAACAGAGGGGAAGCATTTGGTACAATCCGCTAGGACTGTAGCACTTTTGATGCAGCCGGGGAAGACTGAAAATATGAATGCGGCCCTTGGGGAGGTAGCATGAATAGAGGCTAGGCTAATCTTCGACCTGGAGTACTAGATTTTTAATCCCATTTCTACACATGGCAGGATTCCAACGTATGACCCTCTGTTGGCATTCTAACAGAATAGCCTTTCCGCAGCAGTTTGCCTGGTTGCTTACAATCTTTTTGGCACCAGGCAAAAACATTTTCTAGACGATTTTCTTTTGTATACATTATAAATTGTAGCTCTCATGTTACTATTTAAACTCTCAGTTGTGTGTTATATTGTTATGAATTGTGCTTATGCTAGTGCTTGCTTATATTATTGGTCCATTACCATACTATGTAAATTATTGTCTTATTGTTTTGATTCTGTGCGCTTTGTAATCCACACAGAGAGTCCTGTGGGACTTGTGGAATATAAATGTAATAAAAATAAATAAAATAAAGTGATACAGTCTCAGAAGGACTGAATCTTGCTCCTCTTTTCTGTTTTTAGGGTCTTTCCCCATCTTAAGCAGCAGCCAAAGGTGACTGACTGGCAGAACTGGGACACTTAACCTCCCTTCTGCCTAATGAGCACTTCTACCTTCCCCGCTCTGTATGAGACCTGTCTGGAGAACAATTTTACACCTACATGCAGTATGATCAAGAACAACCCACAGGCTTTCATGCTTTGCCCCTGCCTCCTTCCTCTCCTCCTGCAATGCTGCAAGGTGTTTAGAAAGCTTCGCTTCCATTCTCGCTTCGAAACTGCTTGCTGCACTGTCCAGAGCAGCAAACCGTGGTTAATTTCAACTGTGGTTTGCTGGAAACAAGTGAACTAAACCATGAAGGCTTTCAAATGAACTTTAGGGTGAGATGGGGACCTAGCCACTGTGTCCCGAGATACCCAAAGCAGGGTGCAAGTGATGCACTTCCCCATGAAATGCGTTGAAGATTAACTCTTCATTACATTTCAGAAATTTGTCTTTTGTCCCGTATGTAAGCTACTGTAGAAGTGCTCAGTGGGAAGTGTTGGTACTGACATGTATTCAGCAAAGTGGCAAAGAGAATCTTCTATGAATTAGGAATGCTAAAATTCAAGTTTGGAGCCCCCAGAAGCAGAACAGATAAGACTTGACACAGCTCCATAAATCCAAGATAGTAGTTCTCCTCTATGAACACTAGATACTTTGTTCAAGCTGTATCCACAAATTCTTCAAAAGGTCACAGACCAATCATTTCCCTCGTGCGTCATTTACCAGGCACTCAGTCCCAAGCAATGCTGAAGTGCGGAATGAAATCTTGTCAAAACTGGACTTTGAGGAAGTTTTATTTTTCGTCAAAGGCAGCATACAATGTTTGCTAGCAGCACTTACAAAAATATATATTTTATGTTAAACATGGATGCTGAGACAGCAGAAACAGAATTACTTACCCTGGCTTCTTACAAAAATCTCTGGATATTGGAGACAACCAATGAAATGGCCCTTACGGCTAATGGGGAAGGATAAAAAATCCAACAAATAAATAAATATATACTTGTGTAACTGTGTATTCAGTCTACATCTCCAGTTATCACCAATAAATAGTGATTTTCATCAGCCCTCTCAAAAATTGAGACTTGAACCTCTGCTAGAACCGAAGTTCCAGAGCTGCTATTTCCAAACCAAGGTTGGACCATTTAAATGGGTCTGAAAGAAGCATCTGGGCTTGGTGGCTTTGGTGTTCCTATTTAAAGTGCATCCATATGCATGTTAGGCAGGAAAAGGCCTAC